GCACTGAAGGTCATAAGGTTGCTTTGAAAAACATCTTGAGGCACCTACCTTGGTTTTAACCTTCCACTGAACCTATCATAAATAAATTTTACATTATTACTTTAAGGAAAATGTCAATGGTATTTAATAAAAGATATCATTTCTCAATATGTTGGCGTAAAGAGAGAATATTTTTAAAAAGTTCGCCAGATGATCTCGTTTTCTTAGACTTAACATAGACATCTCCTTTGAGTTGCAAATATGCTAATAGCTATTTATTGCATCTTGCTTAGCAGTAATTGTTTGAGATTGGGTTAGCTACGTGAAATTTTAACACATACGTATGTACATGTATATAAGTTATAAACTGATAGCTCAATTTAGTAACAATCTCTATCGCTTTTTTACGCTTCTAACTAACTATTATATAAGTTGTATTATATAAAAGTTGAAATGATAAAGAACATATCTTAACACAGATCGTTTTTAACTTTTCACAGGGCATTTATTGTATGTGCTAGCTTTATGCCGTTTTTCACAATAGTCATTTCGCCTCCTTGCATAACTTCGCGAAATCATTGGGTATTTTTCATTCGAATTCGCTCTACCCACTCACCCATTGATTTGTAAGCAATTTCATCTGTTTTTCATTCGAATTCGCTATAACACACATTGCACATTTTAACGTCTCTGTTTTAACGCGTTAACACTCGTGGTCGATAATAGTGGACTGTGCAATGTTAAAATTTCTCTCAATATCAATATATCAATTTCGCTCGCAAAATTTATATTTAGTAGTAATATTGATTTCAAATATTAAAGTATCGACAAAACCATTCACAAAAAGTAAATACTTCCTACTGTATTGTTTACAACTCGTAGAATTCGTTTATTAACGTGGTGTGTAGTAAATTTCTTTAAAGGTAAAGCAGTCGCAGAGCAGTAACTATCTAAGATAGGTAATGTTACATTCTGTTGGGCATTCTGTTAATGGAATCTGGGCGAATTATTTACCGTATGTGTGGAATCCGGGATATCATCGGTTTTCCTCTCTGTTTTGCAATATCGTCTAGTAATCAGATGTTTCGTGTAATATAAAAAAATATTGTGTTGCAATAACAATTCAAGAGAAGGGTAAATCTTTTGAATTAAATTTATGAAAAATTACTGAAAAAATGCACAAATTCACTTATTTATATTAGAAAGATGATAAGAAAATTAAAGGGTTTGCTTACCAATAGTAACAATTCATTTGCCAGCTGTATTATAACTTGGAAAACTTACAGTAACGAAGTGAAACCGAAAAAGGAAGAGTCAGAGGGTGAAAATTCGGAATCTGATTCCTATCAACAACAACAACAACAACGTAAGAAACAAGACAGTGAAGAACAACGAAAAACAACATCAACAACAAGTTTTGTACCAGCCGTAAGAAATCCTTTTGTCGAAGCCTCTGAGAAAACCAAAAGTGTGTATATGAATATGGTGGAAATATTTACGGAGCGTGATATACGGCGTAGAAATCATGTGGAATTTATTTATGCGGCCATGAAGCATATGGCAGAATTTGGAGTTGAACGCGATCTCGACGTGTACAAGGCCTTGATTAATGTCCTGCCAAAGGGTAAATTTATACCACGTAATATTTTTCAATCGGAATTTATGCACTATCCTAAACAACAACAGTGTATAATAGATTTATTAGAACAAATGGAGGACTTGGGCGTCATGCCCGACTATGAAATGGAAGCTATGTTGTTGAATGTATTCGGTCGTTCCGGTCATCCGTTACGTAAGTTCGATTTGATTTTTTCAAACCTTTAAGCGCATTTCTTCTTGTTATGCTTTTAGAGTTCAGGATGGATTTTTCCAAAAATTTTAGTCTATTTCTTCTTGTTATATTTTAAGGTAAATACTGGCGTATGATGTACTGGATGCCGAAATTTAAAAATCTCTCACCGTGGCCTTTGCCAAATCCTGTTCCCGACAGTGCATTAACTATGGCTAAATTGGCTATAGAACGCATGTGCACCGTTGATGTACGATCACGTGTTACCGTATTTGAAACTAAAAATGTGTTGGACGCAATAGATGACACATGGATTGTAAGTGGTATGAGTCCCGATCAGACTCAATTATTGCACAAACATCCCCACAATAAAGCGATATATATAGAAGGGCCATTTTTGATATGGTTACGAAGTAAAACTATTAATTATTTCACGCTGAGAGCGGATCCCGATATGGAGTTTTTGAAAAGTTTAAATAGTAATACAGAAGATGAAGATGGTAATAGATATATATTTATGTAAATGACATACTTTTATTCCAATTAAAATTGTTTATTCATTTTTTATATGTAGATGTCACTAAGCTTAATGTACCATTCTTTGGACAGCCGCCTATTTCACGTAAAAATCAAGTGGGTAAAGTGAGATCGGTCCATCAACAAGATGACGGCACAATATTTGCAATTTGCGCGACGGGAACATCAACCAAAGACTCTCTATTATCTTGGATACGTTTACTAGAAGCGAATGGCAATCCCGTGCTAGGACAAATCCCTGTATTATTTCGTTTTCGTTCCAAAATTAGTGATAAAGTTAAAGAAATCGAATCAAGCCGTGAAATTAAAGCACCTTCTGCCACAAGTAATGATCATGTGTCTGCAGACGATCTCAAAAGCTAACATATACGATAACGTACACGCACGATCATTTAAGTAAAACTAAAACACGAAATTACTATTGCAGAAATATATGATTTCATTTAATCAATCAATTACGTATTAGAGTAAAATCCTTAAAATGAAGAGCTACTTGCATTGCATTGCATATATATATATATATATATATTTAAGTACGTTTTGGAAAAGAGAAAAGAAAATGGCCAGAGATTATTTAAATTAATCAAATAAAGTTGATTCTAGATAATAGAATATTTATTTAAAAGTGTAGTTTTATGCACAGTAGTGTAAAGTTAAAAAGGAATACAAGTAAGAAAGCTATTGTCGCCTAATAGGGCGAATCTTATTTACCCATCACCTATTTAGATAATTTAATTATGGATATGGAATAGGGATGGGGATTCGATCAAAATTAATATTTTATATTATTATTATTATTATTATTTTTTTTTTTTTTTTTTTGTTATTAAAACAATTATATTATGTATTGCTTTTTGTCGTTCTTTGGACTAAATCGTGTTCGTTTTGAACACGACGGCATTTAAGATTTCTTTATTAGCTTATTCGGCTTTGTACAATCACAGCGTCAAAGAAACGAATAGATACGATTGAATCGGTTGACGCGCTCACGCTTATCTGAAATATATTTACAGTTGTAACGCTTATAGTTTGGTAATTTTTAAATTAAATGACAAAATTAATTAATATCCGGTGATGGGTATAATAATCACAGTAAAAAAAAGAAAAAACTCGTAACGGAAATGCTTTTCCTAATAAAAGGGGGAGGAGAGGAAAACAAGTATTAAATACCTGCAGCACTATCCCTATACAAATGACAATAATATGAATTTTAAAGTGTTACAAAATTGTCAAGACTCGGATAGTTCTACTTTCTATTTCTAATTTTATATAAACAAATATTATGAAATAAACTTTTGTCTGTGTGCTATAATAAACATCATTTATCTTCTTCTTCTTCTTCTTCTTGTTTAAACTAAAGTTGCTTACTTGTAACAAATTAAACGTTCATGACTTAGTTTTGACCTATGATCCTATTAAGAGGAAAAACTTGAGTAACGACGCCAATACCTTTACTCGAACCTTCGCGAAATAGTACGCGCATACCAGCCCGTACATATTCGGGGTGACCAACAAATTGAAACATTACCGAAGCACTGTCGTTAGTGCCAATTTTTTCACCGCCCATAATACCTCGTATAACGGCAGTTTGTCGAATACTGCCTATATGTACAGTTGTCTGGAAGCCTACATAAATAGCAGTAGCATGAAATAATACTGACACCTTTGCCTATAAAAATTAAAAAAAAAAATAAAAGGATGCTAACGACATTCTCTACATCATTACTATAACAATTGTAATCATACCTGAAAGAATAATGTTCCACACGGTTCATCATTGCCAGTATCGTTTAACAATACCATACCACTTCGCAAAGTAGGCAATATTTGGTTAGGCGTGAACGATAACGAAGCGCTCTGGCCGGCTCTAACTACTCTGCAAGGGGCTTTATTTCGGTGTATAGTATGCACAGTGACAGAATGAAATCGGCCGCATGGTAACGGGCCAATTTTCATACGCATATTTTCGGTTAGTACGCCCTTCACCAATAGACCGCCCACTACAGGACCAACTTCAGAGACCCGAAATATTTCATCAATGTGAAATTCGCATGGCTCCTGTTCTAGGCGTTCCTTTTCCAAATTACTTATGCCCGGTGATAGTACATATAAGAATCGTGTTACTAAATTAAGACCCGATCCCGTTACATTCGAGACACAAAATATGGGAACTATATTTTCCGAAAATTGATTTGAACCGGCCGATATTACTTCATCGGTATTGGTTACAACGAATGGGACTTTTCTGCATCCGATCGATGTTAAAAGATTTTTGAGTTCCTGTACAGTTTGATCGGGTGGGGTGATATCTGTTTTTGTAACAACGACAAAAAAGGGCATATCCAAAGCTCGGGCGATAGACAAATGCTCTTGACTTGTACCATTAAATCCCCCGCCTGCGGACAAAACGAGCATAGCATAATGGGGCGAATAACCTGACAACGCTTGTACAGTGGTCCGCATATAACGCCGATGACCAGCCAAATCCATAAATGTCACCAATTTCGTAGAACGATCACTGATCTCCTCTGCCGTCATCATTTCATTATATTTATAATTAATAATTTTGCCTTGCGAATCGAAACCCAATGTTTCATGTGAGATACAGGATGTCCGGCCCGATTGTATTTCATGCATATGACGAAACATATTTAATCGTGCTCTGCCGCGGCCATTATCGAATTCGCCTTGCGTCAGGACACCCAATAAGGTTGATTTGCCAGCGTCTGCTCCCCCCAGGACAGCTACGCGTACCTCAATATTATGCTGATCGTCCGGTATTTTTCGAACTAAAACCTCTGCCACCGAACGCCTTCCCGCCACATATACTATACGTAATACTGAAGTACTGGCGCCTAACTTATGAGCCATTTGCTTTAACGTGCACAAAGAAGCGTTCATATCTTTTTCATTTAAACCGTGCAAATGTCCCGAATCGGAAACACCGATCTCATAAATAGCTTCCCCATGACCTTCTCGTAGACGCCATTTCATTTGTGTAACTAAATGTTCAAACCGCTGCTTTGACGGACTAATCAATTTCAGTTTGTACTCGATATTGCCAATCTGAGGTTCGGGCGGCAACACGCCTTGATCGAAATCAATAACAATTTTATTATTTTGTCCATCAAGTTCACTTTCGCTGCTACTGTTTTGATTGCTGCTTTGCGTAATCGAGTCACTGCTATTGCTGTTACTGTTCCGAATGTCCGACTCTTCATCGAAGCCATCGTCTGGTTGACTCGGATCAAATAGACTCAAAAATGAATCCATATCTCTCTCTAAAGAATATAATAAAAAAAATATTAAAAAAAAAAGTATAATTTATTAGATAAAAAAAAGCGAAGAATTCTAGAGTTAGCGCTAAGCAACAATTAACATTGAAGTTATGGCGAGAGGAGATTTTAAGAAATTTTGCAAAATTTCTTTAATCTCAACTTTTTTTTTTTTTGCTTTTTTCTTTTTTGTTTTTTGTTAATGTGGAAGGGAAGGGGGTTTGCTAATAAAGAAATTATCATATTTTGCCCTAGTTTATAATAGTGAGCTCAAGTGAATACGAATGCAAGTGTTTTAACAATGAAAACAAAAAAAAAAAGGCGCTTTTCTATGATGACCTTGAACAAGAAAAAATAGATGCTCCGCATTTTGCTTATATTCCTTTTTTGCATAATAAATGCATTATATATATTAAGTCATTATGTTTATATATTTACTCTTGGTCTTCCTATATACGTATTTGTATATATTTATACATTTATACATTTATGCATATGTATATACTTACTTAATATATGTATATTAAATTATTTGTCTATAAAAAGCAGCAAAGCATTGCTAGCTCGAAGAAAAAGTAAAAGTAACAAAAGTCGTGAGCAAATTGTTTAAATTTTAATCTATAACTTATAATACACACATCACAACAGTCGAAAATTTTTGTATGGTGTTTGTTTTTAATGTTAAGATTCTTAGTTTATTTTACGATAAAACACTGAACGACATAATGCACTAAGCACTAAATTAAACTGCAAGCAGTGAGCCAGTGATGTGTGATGTGTGTGTTTCCCCAATTGATTACCCGTAAAAACAAGAATAGAAAGACAAACGATGACTGAATGAGGAATGCTATGACCAAAATATAACAAAAGTAAAGCAAAAATAAGCAAATTGGTATGTATTGTTGCAGAAAAACAAAGAAAAAAACAAAAAAAAAAAAAAAATCGATTCTCTCTTGATTTGGAAACAAGAAAATAAAACATTGAAATGAATTAAAAAAATCATAAGCGATTCGAAAGGAATCTTCAATGCCCTATTCTTACTAATCGTAATTTTGTTATTCAATTCCATAGGATAATAATGGTAAATACCTCCGTTTATTTACATCTACTAAAACTGTTATTGTACATGGGATCAGCTAACATTTAAATTAACATTCATGTTCTTCACTCGATGGGATATAAAATTCCCTCCAATTTACATATATGGAATGCATCCAAGAGAAGTAAAAAAGTCAAGATTCGTCGACTATGGTGCGGTACGGAAACTTATAATAGAAGTTGTCTTCTTTCATTATCAACACTAATGTAATTTAAAAAATTAATCCAAAGCCCACCAGTGACGCCTCAGCGTTTCGTTATTTGTCCTATGCCACGATTTCAAAGCATATTTATTCATCGTAATCAACATTTGATTTACATTATAGAAAAACAGATATCTTATTGAGCGCTTTGAAAATGTCAATCGCGAGTTTACAGAGTCGACTTGTACCGTAGTTTTCGTTCACTTCGTTCACTTGTGTATATGCTTGCGACTGGGAAAAGTAATGAAAACAAAATTTTTGTTTATCAACAAAGAAGAAAAATAAAAAAGGAAAATAAAAAAAAAAAAAAAAATGATATCATTGATTGGTCTTTTACGAACACATATCGCATACATAGAAACATTGTTATGAAAAAGACCCAGATGTCAAAAATTAAATAAACAATGACCCGTTTATCCTATTTACTTAGATTTACCTTTAAATATATGTATATATGTATACATACATATATTTTATGATCACATCATAAATTTTTAAATTTAATTGAAAAATACATAGAGCAATTGATTGTAAATAGCTACCTCAAAGCAGCTTACTAGCTTCATTTAATATGTTAGGATTTATATATATTAAGGATTCGGTGGCATTTTTTCTTTTTTTTAATTTTATATAAAAACATCCAAAAGGAAGTGATTAAAGTTCTATCGAGACTATCGATTGCATCAGCTATTGTACATGATATTAGTATTAATTTTGGGCGCAAAATGATATCTTCTGTTGAGCGTTGAAGGGAAGGGATACTAAACCATATTTAAAATAGAATTGAAAAGTGACTAATTTTGAGCAATCGTTTTGCAATCACTGCTTTTAAAACCACAATTGCCCATTTTACGAATTATCAATTTCGAATAAATGCAAAGCACATAAAGAAATGAATTATTGCAGAAAAAAAAGAATGCGTTCTTAGTTTAATAAATTTAGTTTGAAATCGTTTAGTTACTTTTTTGCACTAAGAATACATCAATAACTTGAATACCTTGTACTCACTCGTTTTATTTTATTTATATTTTTTATATACTGTATATTTGATAAAATTGATTTGTTGATGACTTGTTTTATCCAAAAATTATTTAAAGAGCTTTCATTCAACAAAAAAAGTTACATTTGCCTGAACTGATGAAATTAACATAAAACGTACAAATTCTGGTATTCTGTTGTCAAGATACAATAAACACATAACTTCATATATATATATATGCAGGTATAGATTTTATTTTCAATTTAAAATTTTGATCAATGTAATATTTTATATTAATTCAAAACGCAGAAATTAATTATTTGTAAATATTTAATGGCTGGTGTTAAGAAAACTTAGCAACACTCGCTAATTATAATTAATGAAAATTTTATGCAATTCTTACAGAGCTCAAACTAACAAACTAAGATACACAGGGTTGTATTTAAGAGAACTTATGTAAAATAATGTTAAACTATTCTTCTTCTTTATTCTCATCGTAGATAAATATTTTATCCATATCTTCCCTATGAAGTACGTTCAACTTCATTCATCTATTCATTCCTATTAAAGCATTCCAAATCCGTCATATCTCCTATGTGCACATAATATTGTGAATTTAATGCCATTTTTATGCTCCGAAATATTTTCATAGTTTCTAAATTATTTCAAACTTCAAGTTGAAATTTTCTTCCCATTTTGGATACATAATAAAAGCGATTTGGGTACGCATTCATTGCTTTTAATGCTTGCAAATTTAATAAATGCTGCCCCGATCACAGCTTCATTGCATTTTATTTTTTTGGTGTTTGCAAAAATTTTGATTAGCGCCTTTTACAATCTCAGTGTACATAATGGTTGAATTCGACGCGTTTTATCTCCCTTCATACGAAAGGACACGTTTCCAAATAATATTATTGACTTATTCGGCGTACGCCGACGCTAATGACGGAATCCCCAAAATTGCATTTTCGACATTTATATTTGTTGTTGCAGTAGTTAGGCGAATATTGTACGCAAATATTTTGTGTACCCCCAAATCAATTCCTTCGTGTCCAAGGCATTTGTATCCCATTTAAACTATTCTCTCCGTTTTCAAGTATTATGTCCCTATTTTAGGATAATACTAGCAAATCTTAGACGTGAACCTTCACAAGTACGGAAAAATTTTATGTACCTTTTAAATTCATAAATTTTTCCGCTTTTAGCAGCGCTGCTTGTTAAATTTCGATTTTTACAGAGTTTTTTTTATTGACTACTTACAAGTACTTTTGTTAAGTTTCCGGTTTTTCATATTTTATATTAGACACTGGCGAAAGAGGATTTTCTAGTTATGGGAAGGCAAAATTTTGTATAAACATTTTTCTTAAATTCTCTATTTATGTGTTTTTTTAATAAGTTCCAAAATTTTATACAAAGTTTTTACACCACAAAACATACATAAATATATATTATCGAAATTTCCGCCTCTTGCAGGCCAAAGAGAAACTATGTTCATCACAGCGTAATAAATTAAATTAATAAAATAATTGAATCAAAAATAAAAAATACTTGTTTGTTATTTATAATTAAAGCGTATTAGTGCTCGTTAACCAGAAAACTACGTTTGCGTTGTTGTACACGTTGGTCCCGATGGGCTTTTTGTACTTTTTTAAAGTGTACCGTTAACTCAACAAAATCTATATTACTTTTATATTGAAGAGATTGATTTTCCTTCCTACAATATGTATAAAAATTTATTTAAAAGGAAACGAAAAGGAAGACACAAATGAATAACTTACACAGGCTGTTGGCCCCAGTAGTTGGGTACACATTGCAAACGATTTTTTAACATACGAAAAGCGTCAGTTTGCGGCAACAACATTAATATACCAAATAAAGCATGAGCCAAATATTGAGCATCGGCACAATTATTGGCTTTGGATACTAACGTCAGCCTTAAAGCTTTGCAAATGAACAAAATTAATGTAAGACCGACAAAAGAATTGAAAAAAACTTACATGCAAATATTGGAGTTTCTATTAATTGTACCAACTTATCAATTTCACTTAATAATTCCAAAGTTATTTCAACGTCAGCACTGTAATGGTTTTAAAAATGAATTCTCGATTCTCGATTTAAACGAAACTAAATTGAGAGCTTACAACAATACTACCAACTCAGAAACATGCTGATAGCTTTGCGCTAATAAACATAGCGATAAAGTTGAGACAGGACAGTGACACCAGCTTAAGTATAAGCACTTGAATAATTTTGCCGATTTTTCATTGGGTATATCTCGTAAGACATTTCTAAGTTCAAATAACTCCGATGAAGTTAACAAAATGCTATTCAATAAACGCACAATTACAGATGCAAATTTTAAATTTGTTACTTCCTCCGCTATGATTTCCGAAAATGTTAAGTAAATGTATTCGGCGTTTAACAAAACACAAAGTTGTCTGAGAATATTTGAAAATTAATTAGCGTCGAATTGTTTATTGGTATTAAATATATATAAAATAAATTATTTACCTTATTATTAGACTGGCCCGGTTATCTAAGAAACTTTTGTCCTCGCTAAATAACTTAATTAAGCTAAGTAAAAATTTACGATAGTTAGCCTTATTAAAGTCAGTGGTCTCTGATAAAAGGCATTGAGAAATGAAAAATTACAATAACAATTATGAATTAATACTTTGGTTTCGAATAAGCTCTTAGGATAAGGAGAAAAGAATCAGGCTGTAGCTGCCCTAGAGAACTGTGTTCTTTTTGGAAACAACAAGTAAGTTCTGCCCAGTAAAAGCTTCCAAAGGCGATTTCTTTCCTATGCTTATACTCATGACCAAAAAAAAAAAAAGAAGAAGCTTTACATCATCCAGAACGCATCGAAAGTCAGAGACACTACCGATTATATATTCTTGATAAAATGCAAATTTGTAATCTTTCTAAACACGTCCAGCTGTCCGCATATGTTAAGCAAATTCCGGGTCATAAGAATTCAGATGTCGGCTTCAAATATATTACGAACGAAACTTATTCCGGCGCGATAGTAATTTGATCGAGATTGAACAAACAAGCAGATCTAGATTTTCATACCTACGCTTACTCTCTCTGTACATCTATACTTCTTCTATATGTTACAAATGTTTAAACATTGCAATGTATTGAACTTTGGAAAGGGTGTAAAAAACATGAGCGCACATAAAATTGTTTACCTTTGGAATGTTGTGAATTAACAATTTCGGCCAGTACTGAGATGCACTTTAACACTACATCATCCGAGTTATCCGACAATATGCCTAATAAATTGTTACCCAACTCATTTAGATGTGTTGACATCTAAAAAGTTTATGAGAAATGAAGCAAGTGCTTATAACTTATTCAAAAAAGAATTATTTACCTCGTTAGGAAAATTAATTAGTAAGTGATAAATCCATTCGAGTACAGCTATCTTTGTTTGTGCTGAATTGTGGCTAAGGTAACGCGACAACACTGTCATTATGGATTTTAAATCGATTTGTTCAATATTTTGAGTTTTGTGTTCTTTGGATGATACCAATTTCATCATAGATTTATTAACGGAAACCGCACATTCTTTAATGTTTTTCATTGAGTCCTCATTGCACTCTAGACATGGTAAGATGGCGGTAAAAATTCCGCTAGCATATGGTAAAACATTAGAGCCAAATATTAATACAAATTCCCGTATCCAAGTTAAAGCAATAGACTACGCAATTAAGGCATCAATATTATTATTATTATTATTATTTTCAAGCAAATACACGTTTACCTTTATCTGTTCATGAGGAGATTGTGCGTGTGTTATTAAGGTGTTAATAGTGTCTTCCATACACACCGACGACGAATCATTACGTATGGATTTAAGGAATTGTGTTAATGTAGTCTCACACATTCTCTGTATTTCCTGAGTGTTATCCTCTAACATAGTAAAAAGGCCATCGATGATATCTGTTAAATATAAAACCATATTGATTTCGGGCACTGCATTCAGAATGGAAATCCACGATATCACATATTGGCGAACAAAGGAATTTTTCACATAGATACGTTCCTTAAGCAATGGTATAAAAGCTTCCATTTTAAAGCTTTGAGAGGATTCAGTGACAATATCCTAATTGTACATATGTTTATATATTCATTTAATTCAACTAAACTGTATTTTACTAAGGAAAACGTTAATTATACCTTAAGTAGTCTGTCTAATAACTCACTACCATCTCTAACCGTTTGATCGTTATCAGCTACTAATCTTGAGAGAGCAGAAAATAAATCCGGAAGAAAAGGTATAATGGCTGAACGAGATACCTTAACCACATTATAAAGTGATTCACAAGCAAAATATCGTACTCGCATGTCTTGATCATTTAAACAATGTAAGATAGGCGTAACCAATTCATTGACATATTTATGGGAATCCTAAACAAGAAATTTAAAACAAAATGTATAAACGTATTATTGTTTATTAGTGTACATGCCTTTCCTAAACCCAAACTTGTAGCTGCCAAACCAATTAAACCACCTTTCCGTTTGTTCGCATCTCTTGAACCAGCGAAATCATTTGATAAAACCTCTATCAATTTACGTATTTGAGCCGAATTATTTTTCAAGTTAAATTCAGTCACCATCCTTTATAAAAAAAAATATAAAAAAAAGAAAACCATTTATATTTATTACCGCAGCATATATAACTTAGTTTAAGTAAAATTACTTTTCGATTTCTTGCGAAGCAACTTTTCTTTTATCATACATCTTATCGCCTAAAGCCTTCGCCGCAGATTCACTTAAAGGTGCATAAGGACTTTCCATTGCAATGCTTCAATTTTTATTTTATAATTTACCGTTAAATTTTTCTAGTTAATAATTAATTCAATTAAATAATTTTAGAATTCTTTGGATTTTTTATAGAACACTAAGTTTTTAATGTTTTCTTAACAAGAGTGTATGATAATTACGGGATCCCAATGAAGAGTTGCAATATTTTGCAAATTTGCTCATTGTACTTGTTGTACGGTTTTAAAAAAGATCATGGCAGCCCTTCAGATTTTACCGTAACTTTGATTGCTCCTCCTCTTTACATCCTCGCTCTTACCCGACATATTATCGCTAAATGCTCTGAATAATTTGGTCGAAGCTATGTAATTTTTTGGAATCGTTATCTTTCGAGCTCTTAACTTTTTTTGCTCTTTACACCTTCGCTCTTATGCGAAATATAAAACTGTTGGCACATGCTTTAACGTATATGACGTGTTTTTTAACGTACTTGGCAATGAAGGGACAGGTGAAAAAATTAAAAATTTTATGGAAACTTATGGAAAAGTATCAATCTGGAGCAGCTGACATCGCCAAGAGAGGCTATATTTTTTCGATTTATGACCTGGTCCAAAGAAACTCAACGCCTCGAAAGAAAAAAGTGCCAAAATAATATCAACAGGTGTCTAAACCAAGCGCTTTTTCCCGGACTGATCTCTCCGAGTCTAAGCCGGATCGCAATGTGAGATTTATTATCGATCATAGCAACTTAATGGATGTTATCATTAAAAAAATTTCGTAATCGCTTGTCTAGACTTCAGCAGTATCTCATTCTGAAAGATAAAGAAAATAACAGACATTGGAAACGCGTAGAGATTTCCACAGCACCGTAAGCAAAAGTTCACTCAAAGTAAGCGTAATAATGAACAGCTTGACCATGAAAGATGATCAAATCCAAGTGCGAATATCCGTTCTAAGTACATCTTTTCAGACTGACTCAATTTTGTTATAAAAAGTTTTTTTTAATAATTTGACGCTTGCTTTAATTTCACGACCAATCGATCCTGCCGAGGATGCTACGACAAACGGAAACTTCCCAAGCCTAATTTGTCGTCCAAATCGGTAATTATATCGATATTGATGTAAATATCATTTGACTTATGTATTTATTATTATTATTATTATTTTAATTTTAGACTAATGAATTGAATTCTTACACTAAAAAAAGACATTGAGCACTAGCAACACAGGCTATCGGCTCTTGACTTATGTAATTGCTGCCTATCCTTGTGCAATTGTATACAAATTGGAGAATTATTTCACTTATTTCAATTTGTCTTTATTTAAGTTTAAATTCATGCTTGTTCTTAGTGCTTTCTCGTACTTATCAATGCCGATGTAAGTATTTTAAGAATCTCCTTTTCAAAAAACCAATAAAAAAAAATATCTACACTGCTATTAAAATAAAGAAAAAAAAAAAGAAAAAAAAAAAAAAAATCACATTCCGGATGTACAATTTGGTTGCCTTTCAAAGGCATTATAAATATAAAAAGTTATAGTAGATGATTAATTCAACTTAATTCAATAGGGGTTCGTCTTTTTCTTTCTCAATTACCAAGTCGTATTGTTCCACTTCTTGGCACATGCTATTAAATTCTTCAACGAATTTTTTTAATTCATGGTTTGGTTTATATTTTTTAGATTGATGTTTCGTTTGTTTCTTGTTAAAAGACTTTTTATTAATATCATCATCGGATTCGCTTTCCGACATGTCATAAGCAAAACGAACGCAACGACGATTGCGTACTCGAGGATTTTTTCGTACATAAGTGCGATGATGATCCTGCAAACATACACACAAAGAAGTAAATAGTAAAATATGATCGAGAACATTTAGTTTAAGATAAAAATCGACCAAGTTTTCTACTCGTCCAGCACTAGCTTTATCCAGCTCTAGTTTGATGATAAAATAAATCAACTCAATCAAGTTTAAGATTATCTCCATACGCTTGCATGAGACCATATAGAACGATTAATTAAGAAATAAGAATATATTGTTTGTCGTGCCCCTTCACAACATCTGCTCTAGTAGCGATCTAAAAAGAACTAAATTTATTTATGTATTTTTTTACTAACGTGAACTTCTTAATATATTAAATAGTTTTAGAAGTCACAACAGAACTTGGTAGGAAGTTGAAGATTAGATTAAACTCAAAGAGTTGGGGCATTACGGACAGGCCTAGCATTCTAATTACAAAAAACTGCGACGTTAAGGTACAATCCCAAATTAGCAACTGACGTGCCCTTCATAACGTGAAACTGTACCAATTTTCGACTCTTCATGATCATGAAACTATCGACAAAGTAAGGATTATTTTGTAGATTAAGAGTACTGTTAATATTGATATTAAAACCGGTTCGATTAAAATAAACTGAATAAAAAAAAAAAAAAACGCCTTACCTGGACGTGTGTTTCAGATTTAGACTCAGGATCCATAAAGAGTTCCTCTAATTCTATATCGAGATCCTGTTTTTCTGATCTTACTTCCTTCATTGCTTGAGCACTCGTAGATGGAATCATAGTTGAACATAGCATTTCTTTTAAATTTCTCTGGCGAAAATCTTTGAAACATGGATTTTCATCAAAAATTGGCATACATTTGGTGCAACTGCTCTCCTTTTGTTGCTTTTCAATGACACTTTTCTCGGTTCTAATATCCTCAGGCCGCCATTTGCGTAGCTCTTTAAGTTTGTCATGTAAACTTTTATTATTTTTGTCCATTTCATCGCCTTTGTCACGTTCCCAATACTCAGATAAGTTGTTTGCAGTAATGCTTTCACTTTGAGTTAAAAATTCTTCGAAACCAAAAATCGAAATTTTTACCTCGTCAGCTGATTCCACACAGGATTCATGGTTTGCCCTTTTGTAGACCGCGTCTGATATCGCGCTTGTATCCTTAGTTATATTGCGGGGCACTTCTTCATTTTCACAGACACTATATGATAAGATTGCTGAACTCACGCTAACGCTTTTATCTTTTTCTGTATTTCGTTTTGGATCGGGAATCGGAGGTTTTTTCCAAGATGGCAAACTTATAATTTCCAAAATTTCAATAGGCTTTAAAGGACTACGTCTGCTAAGAGTTTGTCTGGGATTTGATACTTGCGTTAAATTATACATATTTTCATTTATAATTTTTGTTGCTTTTGTATTTTTTGGTGGTGGTATGTTTTCAGCATTTGAATCGTTTGACGAAAACGAAGGCATCGAGTTTTCAACTTCAGGCCCAACATTTGCAACATAAGAATTCCGCAGAGAATTGTTTACTGAGCGACTATGATAATAATGCTTGGAGATATTCTTTCTTGGTGTTAATGGTATGACGACATCGCTGGAAAACGATGGTAAATTATCAGAATTACGACTAAAATTGAAAACAGTCGGCAGGTGAGCATTCTCATCCACACGCCAAGGTGAATTTCGGACTGGCCGAATTAAAGATTTCCTTGCATTGCTTGGGAAAGCAATAGGTGACAAATCCTCGTTTATGGCGCAATTGGCGGAAGACGTATTCGAAGCTTTAGGTGTGCTTACAATATTCTTGACAGCCTGTAATAACTGCCGACGTTTGTCGTTTTCCAAAGGCGAGTTACTCGTTTGTTTCAACAGAACTGACTTTGCTAACTGACTAAACGTTCCTTCTTTTAATGAACTACGGTCGCACGAACGTTCGTACGATTGATTATTTCGTTGATTTTGTGTATTTTTCGTGGGCTGATTACTCAACGGTTCACTTTCATAATTGCCAATAAATTGTTCAATATTATCATCAGCTTCTTGTCCATTATTATTTAGACCGTTTTTTGCTACATTTGCCTTCTTTAGTTTCTGCGCCTTATTCACCCTTTTTTTTTTAATTGGCTTTGCCGGCCGTGCACGTTTCATAATCGGTCTGCCTTTGCCTTTCCAATTAGTCGCCACCTGTACCTTACCTTCGGCAATAAGCTTTTCAATTATATCTTGCGCAGGATCTACAGGTTTAGGCGAGTCATTAGTTTGAGACAGAGTGAAGAAGTCGTAAACATGAGTTGACGACTTCCGCTTTCCTATCTTTTTTAGTGCATCCTTGTTACGGTCAGCGGTGGCCTTATCAGATCCTTTTAAAGAACGGTGGAAGAATTTGTTAGTCTTCTCCGGATTGCACGTTTCATTGGAATTTTTATTATTTTTATTAGATATTCCGGATATTTCATTTCGGTCAGCTTCTCTTAAACTGGGCAATTGCTCGGCGTCTTCGGATTCACTTACAGAATTTCTTAAAGTTTCAAATCCTGAACGTTCATTACTTGTTTTCCCCAGGACTGAATCTTCCATAATCGGTTTTAACTCGCAGCGGCCGTGTGTTTTTCCACGTTTGGTTGCCAAGCGTGATTCTAAAGACGTAGAATTTCGGATGGGTTCAAAACAAATTGTTGAATCTTGTATTGGGTGAAATCGCGAAAATTCCAAGTCCGTAGTTTTGGCAGCTTGTATCGATGTTTTCTTCTTAGGGCTAGGATATGTAAAATTTAAACTCAACTTTGCTAGATTTTTACGTTTTTCTTCGTTCAATGCAGGGAAAGGTAAAGGGGTTGATATTATCATCGATTTTGTTGCTCGAATATTATTAAAAGTTACTTCGCCTTTTTGCTTGTGGGTTGTTAATGTACTTATGTTGTTATCCCTTTCGAATTTTATTCTTTTAAGACGTACAAAACATTTTTTCGAGTTTCCAACGGCGTTTATGAAGCCATCTTCTTCGTTTCCTTTGCTAGTAGCTGTTTTCGATTTCCCTGCAATTGTGACCTTAATAAACGGTTTTCGATGTCGGCCTTCTGAAATGATAGTTTCCTTAAATTTTCTGGCTTTTTAAGAATTTAAATTGGAGTTTAAAAACAAAATTTAAAACACAAAGAGAAAAAAAAGCACCGACCTTTGTTACCACCTTTGCCAGTGCTTGACTTCATTTTACAAATATTTTTTTCGAGGTTATTTTGCTGTAGCATTGTTTCTGGAATATTGTTAGATGTGACTGCCCTTTGTGGGCTGCTTTTGTAAATCATTTCGGCACTTAATCTTTTAAGTCGTATAAGGCATTTTTTCAAGATTATCGGATTTGTCACTTTGCGTTTGTGCATGTTTTCTTGGGGTTTACTGTTAATACGATTCTCGTCCACTTTAGTGCCGCTATGCGTAACTTGTAAAGGCGCGGATATCAATTCCGTAATATTTGGTAAATCTCTCAAATGCCCTGGATTTAGAAGAATTTATATTAAAATTTTCCCTAAATACGAAAACGAAAAATACACTGACCTCTATTCCCGGTTTTGCCCGACCTAGTTGGCTTAACTTTATGAATTTCCCTTCTCGTGATACTTCGACGTGGTCTCATTTCTGAGATATTTTTAGGTATTACTAAGCTTTGCTGGTCATTTTCATTGATTATTTCAAATTTAACCCTTTTCAGACGTACAAAGCATTCTCGTAAATTCTGTGGACCTTTTTCTGGAAAACACTTAAGGCGTTTTTCGTTTTTCAGATCATCTTTCCCTCTCCTGTTATTTATAGTTTTCCTCTTTATTGGACGCGCACGACGGATATTGTGTTTGCCTTCTCCTTTTTGGGTCTCACTATTCATACGATTTGCATCCATTCTGCTATTGAATAAAGTTATTTGTCTTTATTGAAAGCGATGTCCACTATTTATAATTTATTTCGATTTCCTCCGCTTTCATTCTTTTCAATCTTCTCGAATTGGTAGTTGATTTTCATTTCACACTTTCACTTTTCTATTATTCCGGTATCGTTTTCTATTATTTTCTTTTTGTATATTGAGCTCTTTGGACTAGGCCATTGTCTAGCTTCTTGAGAATAATATTCTTTACTGAAAACACATTTGCAAGCTTTCTATTCAAATAAATGTGGAACAATTTTTGGCTGTAACACAAACAAATAATTAAAAATATTGAGACAAAAATTACAAATTTATTTAGCTACAAAAGTATAGCTTGCAACCACCAAGCTACCAGATTGCTAATAATCTCAGATTTATACAATTTTCCAGGATTTTTCATAATTCTTAGCTTTTAATTAAGTAATCGCTACCATTAAGGAAAATCGATACGTAATTGTAAATTTCAATATCAAAAAGCTTCTAAGAACACAAACTTACTTTTAAATTAGTAACTAATATTTGCGAAATATATTTAAAATTCAACAAATCATTGTAGAGTTTTCTTTTTATTTTATTCCTGAGAATGTGGCCTGAAGTATTTACTGTAGAGTTAAGATGGTCTTTAGTAAGACTTTTGAATAATTTATAATAAATAATTTATAATAAAAAAAATTAAATTTATATTACAACTTTAATTTATTTAATATTATTATTAACATCTTATTTATGATACTATATATAAATATTTTTCGCGACTGCTTGAGATGGTTAGTTTAAACTACAACACTTCTCTACGGTAGCTCGTTACTTTGAAACAAATCTTGCCTCTTATTTTGCATGTGTGCTTTAATGCTTAATTAAGCGAGTCTGGTAACTCCACAGAAAAGGTTGGTCAAATTTACAACGCAGTTCACAGCTATAATCGCGCTCGATTTTTATGTTCCATCACAAACTTGTTGCATTATAAAAAGACAAAAACTCGTATTTTTATAGAAATATTTTGTTGAATAAAGTGTGTGTTGAAAAATTTATTAAAAAATAAATAAATTCGAAAAAAAAACAAATTAAAAATGAACAACAAACTGATCAAAACTACAACAGAAAATAACGAAAATTTGTGCCCGATTAGGTAAGATTGTATAAAATTTCTAAATAACTATTAAAACGGGCAGCATATTTATTACGTTGTAAACAAATTCATTGAGAATTTTGCGCAAAAGAACGAGTCTTTTTTATTTTTTTTTTTTTTTTTTTTTGTTTGATAAACGGCAATTGTACACAATTGATTACGAAAAAAGAAATAAGAAAACATTCGCAGGCCCATATGAGAGACTGCCTTATCGACATTTTGTGGAATGTAATCTTTACACAATTATAGGAAAAAAAAAATTGCAAAGAATTAGATTGTGCGAAAGTTCTACCCGGTCTAAGATTTTAATGAATTTTAATACATCATTAATTGCGGTGAATCGTAAATGATCAATTTAATGTGTAGAGTTAAAGTTGAAAGGCGTGTATTAAATTGCTGCTTACAGCAGTGTTCCAGATGTTTGTTATCCGACATGTTAGTAAACAAACGGGTGTTGCATTAAATATAAGCTCAAAAGAGGTTTGTTGTGTTTATTCTTCTTGTTTAGATGATCATTTATATGTATATAATCATTATAGAACATGTAAACATTTTCTTTAATTATCAAATTTATTATCTCTTTATAGAAAGCGTTTACCTAGTAAAAGTTCTAAGCACCCCTCCGGCTGGAAATTAGCTAAATTAGAAGGCTCATCATCCCCGTCGGCTTTGACAAACGAGTATTTAGAGGAAATGGGCATCGGAATGTTGGATTCCGAGGAAAGTTCTTCTTCGACAGCCTCGGCTATAGCTTTAGCCGTTACTGCTAGTGCCGATGAAAATTCCAATGAAGCCACGCCCAATTTGGATACTATAAAATTTTGTCATCAAACACGTCTTCATTATAGAAATATGGACAATTCAATCTTGGATGCTACTACAGATAATGCCAGCAATCACAGTTTTGCCGATCGAAATGATAAAGAATCAAAAAACAACAACAACAATAATAATATAGGACAACGTTTAAATATGAATAGCAATTCAAATTCCTCATCATCATTTGAAATATATGCAGACGATCAACAGAGGCAAAAAACAAAAAATTCGGACAAATTTTCAGTGACATCCACGCAACACAAGAAGATGGCTGCTAACATAAGCGTTAAGTCACCATCGACTGGCAAAAGGAGCCCTTTGGCTACAGTTGCTTGCAATGGTTTTATAAGAAATGTGCAACAGCAGCAGCAGCAGCAAATTATAAGTCAGCAGCAGGTACAACACATGGAAGTCTTTGTCTTTTTTTTTTTTATTAAATACTTTCCATTAATTTCTCCCAGAGATCACATTCTCCGTCAATGCTCCCGTCTACCAGTCGGCAAGCCGCTTTGATGAAACAACATCAACAATTACAAAAACAACAAGAGCAACACTTATCATCGATGCATCAATCTGCTATAATTGCAAACAAGAATTTCTTCTTATTTCGTAATCATGAGATGCGTGAAACTAATCTCAGTGGTAAAGATAATTTTAACACCTTATCCGATGAGATCATTTTGCAAATTTTCAAGTGGTTGCCAAAGAAAACGCTATTACGTTGTGGCTACGTCTCACAGCGTTTTAATAGGTGTGCTAGTGACGAATCCCTTTGGTCGCGTTTAGACTTGGGTGGTCGTTCTTTAAAGCCAGGCGCTTTGGAAAATATTTTGAAACGCGGAGTCGTAATTTTGCGATTAGCTCAGGCTGAAGTATGCTTTCATTTGTTCATTCTCATTTTAAAGTTTTAATATTAATTTCATTATTTGATCTCCTCCAGATTAATCATCCAATCTTTGATGTCAGCTTTATAGAGAACGAGTCAGATTTTGAAGCAAAATTACAATATTTAGATCTTAGCATGGTAACCATTACAAAGTTATCCCTAAAGATGTTATTGTCGCGCTGTCGGCAACTGAAGAAATTGAGTTTGGAGCATGTAGTCCTCAACGATGATATATGCAATGAAATTGCAAAAAATGAAGATTTAGAGGCAATAAATTTAGCCATGTGCTCTGGTATTGAGGCATGGAGTGTACGTAAAATGTTGGAATCACTTAAGCAACTCAGTAGCCTAAATATATCCTGGACTAATCTATCGGTAGATGCCGTAACTTCATTGGTTACAAACATAACACCAAATATATTACGCCTGAATATGGCTGGTTGTCGTAAGACTATGTTTGACTCACGTAAGTCTTATTTTCTCAAGCCTCGTATTAATTGCCTTAAAATACTTTTCACTGTAGATCTCGAGAGTTTACACAAGCGATGTCCCGAATTATTGGAATTGGATTTATCCGATTGCACTGGTTTGACTGGCAATGCTATTAATATTATATGCAAATTTAAGGCTCTCGAATATTTATCATTGTCACGCTGCTATTCAATACCTGCCGCTGCTTACGTGTAAGCAATTGGAACCTATTCATGAAATGTATTCTGATATATTTTATCCATTCTTCCTTTTGCTTTTTTCTTGTCTTTAGGGAGCTTCGCAACATGTCGACCCTTATCTACCTGGACATTTTTGGTATGCTAACCGAATCTACTTTGGCGATGCTAGAGCAAACATTTACAAAAATCGGTATTAACAAATTCATTCATAGCTCAGTCGCCCGACCCACGGTCGGGACTCGACGCACTTCAATTTGGGGTTTACGAACTCGAGACTTTCATGCATAACGAGAATAATAATAATAATTTCAAGTACCATGATATGATGATGATAATTTATGCAGGATGTTATTTTTCCATAACAAATTCTTTTTTATCTTTGAATAACGCAATAAATAATACATTTTGCAATCTGTGCTTATCATACAACCATATGACAAAATTGTAATGTCTTGTTATTATTATTAATTTTTTTTTTCCCATCCTATTGATCAGAACAATTTTTTACATTTTACAACTTTTCTATTACGCCAATGGTTTGTAGAGAAATGCAAGGAAAAAATAAGTTCAAAATGATCCCTTCACGAAAAATATTTTGGGCGCGGTCGCAGCTCAACTCTTGTTTTTCTTATGGGATTTGTGCAGAGTTAAGTCTTCGATGCAGCGACTGCTCAGGTTAAGAAGCACATATGCAGTATGGCGTTGCTTGGATTCCGATAAATATAACGTATTGTGTTTCCTCTGTGCAAAACGAAGCTAATGGGCGGCTTTATTTCGAGACCCTATTACTTGCTTTATACGTTACGTGTCAAAAGCTTTTTTTTTTCTTTTCTTCCATGTTTGAGAGATTAACCCTAGGGCACTGTATAGTGGAAAAATAATAATTCGAATAATTTTAAATTTTCGAAGAAAAGCCTAAGTGCTCGTGGGCGTTAAAAGACTTTCCAAAGTATCGGCGTAACGTGGGCTGTTTGTGCAGACACATTCAAGGCAAGTGTTCTGCGAGAGACAAAAGAGGCTTGACTCCTCGACAGGATGACACGGCTTTCTCAGCTTTCCCTCACAATTGTCCTGGCATTACTTGTGCACCTTATGGTAAAGTAGCGCAACTTGTCGTTCGTTACCCACATTGCGTGCCATTGGAACAATTTACCGGCGTTAAGAATTTCAGGGAAATCCAAACTTGCGAATAAAAATTTCATAAAAGCTTGCCTTCTTGTCAATCAAGCTTATATAAAAACACTATTCTCCCCTTTCATCCTTTTTTACCTTCAAACCTTTCTGAATTACATGCCTGCGCATCAGAAGATAAACAAGGTAATGCTCGTAACATATAATGCTCGAGAAAGTTGAAAATTAAATCCTCTTGTGTCAGAATATTAAGTAATCTCAACGTCATATACCGGACTTTTCCGTGAGGTCAAAATTGCTGAACATTCATTTTATATATTCACTCAATTGATGCTTTTATAGATAGATGCTTTTCGATAGATAGATTTTAATAGTCACATTTTGATTACCGACTTCCGGTCTAGGGTGATTATGTCTTGAAAAATACACTTCAATTCCTCGTAAGTAAATGTTGCGAGATATGACTTATCCTCGACTTACGAAAATATTATAACATATCACAGTTTTTCTCAACAGTTTTGGAAACAAATTTACCGACTTATTTATTTAAATTTAAATTGGAAACTCTTAAAATTTTTATTCCGAGATATATATATATATGTTTTTTAATATGGCCAATCGCTTAGGCGATGCCTCTTACTCGTGCAGCCTGATGACGCTAACCTTTTCAGAGTAGGGTGTTACATGGGAAAGAGTGAAAGAAGTGGACCAATCCGAACCATTTTCGATAGTGTTTGTCCTTGGGTCATAGTACGCCTTCGTATCGAGTTTCATCGAAATATATTAAAAATTATGACCTGAAGCCTGAATATAAAACATTAGACGAACAGATGGGCTTAGATCGACATAACAAAAGGTGGGCCTATCTTAAGCCTCTCTGAGTGTTACATACGTCCGCTTGAACTTAATATACCCTGTAGCGGTAGGGGTAGCGTGCAATAAAAAATAAGAAATTAATATAAAAAAGTGTATAATTTTTCATATGTTAATAATTAATAATAATGAGTTTATTCACGACCAACCTTCCATTACAGATGGACATCAAAAATGAAATCGGACTAATCCTCTTTTTCATAATAAAGCAGTAAAATTTAAAGTTTTACTTAATACACTAAAAATTATGAATCATATAAGAAAGAAAGAAAAAGAACGTATGATGCCTGATAAAGCCCGGATTACAATATATTTTGTTGAGACTTTGTCGGTAGATAATAGTTTTCTCTTTCTCATAAGAGGGGATATTAAAGATAATAAATTGATTGCTTAAGTTCTGAAAGAAACAATCACTATATGGAAAAGAAAAGGAAGCGATTGAACCGAAAACTCATGATGTTGTCGAGATTAGCGCTATTATTGCCTTGCTTTCATCGCACATTACATCTGATCTGTTCGAAAAATCGATTTTCGATTCTTAGTGCGATACTCGAAAAAACTAAATAGTTTAATAGACAGATTCAAGACTTTGCTTGTCTTTTCCGCACACGGAACTCATATTTTCTATAGAAAGAGAGAGAAAGAGAGAGAGAGAGAGTAGTAGCGGCTTGTGAAGAGCGACACTTTGAATTTTTGCAGGAAAACTTCATATTCTTAAGAGATGTCCAGTGTGATATTCTTAGACCATTTTTCAGTTAGCGAAAGCTGAAATAAATTTACAATTTTTTAAACGAAAATTGTTTTTATTTTATACAAATTTATCTAATTTTTTTTTTTCGTTTTTTGTTTTTGTTTTCTTTTTCATTTTAGTTAAATATAATACAAAGTCTTGTTCAAATTCACTTTTTTAGATTTTCATTTCCTTTTGTTTTGTGTGTTTAAGAAGAAAAAGAGAATCTATTAATATATTATTAATAATAAGAATAGAAAATTGTAAGAATATAACTACATAAGGTATGTATATATGTATGCCTACGAATAAGTAATATGTACAATTTGAATTTGATATTTAGCTGATAATAATAATAATAATAATAATAAAATCTGATGGAAAAATTATTTAATTATAAAGTAAATAAATTATTTTCAGGTGATTTTCGATCTAACTAATCTAATCTTAAAGTACTTTTTCTTTGCCCGTTCCTTAAGTACGCTTATAACTAAACGAAAAAGGAGAGAACGTTTCTACTTCACACACGTACCCCAACCCCTATCCTATATATAATATTAATTCTTCCTAGGCAGAGATAAGAAATATTTCATGTTAAGCATGATGTTATGTATGTATGTATGTAAGTGTTTGGTTAAAGGAAAAGAAATTAGCACAGATTTGTGGCGAGTATAAGCGCATTAGTATCATATACGCATTAATCAACTTGGTTTTCTTCTTTTTTTTTTTTTTTTCTCTTCTTTCCTTCTTTCTTTTTTTAGTATCCCTCCCTAGAATACGAAGACATAAAATGCATATTTTGTTTCTATTTATTCAATATTCATATTATTTCGTTTATTGAGTTAAACAGTTTTTGAGTTTTTGACTTCTACCGTTTCAATTGCTAAAAGAGAGAGTGTGATTAGTTATCAGAAATGATTCGTAGCAGTTTTAAAAAGACATCCTCTCAGACGCAAATATTTACGGGTGATCAGGGGTTTATTGAATATGGATTAATCATGGGTAAAACATTGAACTCTTGCTTTCGGTTTCAACTGTTTTTTTGCTAAACGACAAAGTGCGAAAGTGAAATTTAACCTTCAGTTACATGATCACTCCCCATACGCAGTCGCAATCTTGCTCACCATCCATGCATTTTCAATCACATATTAATTCATCAAATTTAAAAGTAATCAAGATTAAAAATAGTCAAGATTTGAAAAATATATATTTAAGAATATTGAAGAAAAGAAAGGAAGAGGAAATGTAGAAGATTAACAAGCACAGCAAGTTATTAGGTCGAGTCATAACTAACTTCCGATGCAGCTAGGTAGAATCTATTGTTCATATTTACCCTCTGCAAGGCATCGATACAAACGAGTTTGGCTTTTCACTATATAGATGAAGACTCAGTTTTATGTGTGGCATGTTACATGCAACTGTTTTTTCTTAACCTCTTAAGTGCATATTCGCAAATGGCTCTAAGTCTATAACTGAAAAAATCTGCACCGTATGCGGTAAAGGACTGGCAACAAATTGGGCAGTTTGAAATTGGTTTGCTGAAGGCACGACCTTAAAGATGAAACGACGACCATCTTTTTAGACCAATATTGAAGCGAAATCCAGGCCAATTAATAAGGGGTATGACAATCTTTCGCTGTCAGTAAATGAGCTTCGTACAGATCTCCCTCCTTATCGGAAACAATATTCATTACGAAGAATTTGTTGACTGTCCCTTTCATTCTTCAAGAAGACTCACAATTCAAAGATCTTTTTATTTTGTTTTTTAAGAATATTGAAATATTTTAATGATCAGGCAATTAATATAAAAAATGTGACCTAAACCATAAGGTAGTTAAAAATACATCCCTTAAAGAACACGGGCAAGAGTTTCTAAGCAAATCAAATTTCTAACCAAAGAAGGAGCTTGATCAATTTGGAAGACGAAACATCCCTGATATGATGGTCTATAAAAAACGATGCCTTAGATATGATAGACGGTAACTACTATTTCTTCACTATTATGCTCGAGCCAAACACTATTGCCTTACTCTCATCGTTTCGGTAAAGATATTACAAAGTCAGTTAACTGTGTATGCTGAGCATATACGCGTCGTGATTCGTCTACTGTCCTTGTCAGATTTACTCATCAAATTTTGTCATTTCGAATATGTTGTCATTATAAAATAATAATATCTTACACTCACTCTATGTTTGACAAGTGTGCGACGAGTATATTGGTAAAGAGGTCGACACAGTTAACTGGTTTAAGATATTTAATAATACATTAATAGGTGCAACATATATAGCATTGATATTATTTAGAAGATATTAATTTCAAATTTCGCGTAGACAAATGCGCGAGAGTGATAATGCAACGGAATATTTAAAGTTCAAATGATTAGGCGAAAATTCAAACTCGTCCTTGCCGCTTCAGTAAAAGAAGAGAGAGAAATTAAGGGAAACAAAAACCATAGGAGAAAAAGAGTCTTCCGCATCTTCCTTTTTATCTCTTTTATACTCTAGCAGAAGAAGAAGCAGCTCTAAAGAGACTGTTCAAATATATTAATAAAGAGTAAAAATGAAGTGAGTGAACTGTTAAGTAATTAATAAAAATCTTCACGATGCTTATAAATTCGCTAGAACACCATGATTGATTGATGATGTTGACTCTAGAAATTGATATTTTTTGTACGCGTCTGCAATCCTGTAAGAATACGTGGGATGGGAAGGGATGTTCTTTTGATCTCAATTCTTTTCGTTATTTTTTTTTTTTTTTTCATTTCTAGGGGGGAATGGCAGTGATTGAATTATACATACTCGTGTGCATGTGTGTATGTGTGGATGCATTTACGGATTTATCACTTTTTGTATTTAGGATGTTTTTTTTCTTTTCTTTCGCTCTTTTTTCCCTTTACCACATTACAATGATTTTCCGTAATGGTTGTCTTGTCTTTTATGGCATTTGTGTAGAGATTCTTATTTTTGGAATAAAGTTCGTATGTAATATATTTAAAAAAGTTGATATTTGATTTGTATTCTGGCACACTTCTAATGCATATGTCCTTATATTTGAATGCTTTGTTCCCTTGTATGAGTTAATTATTTAATGGGCATAGTTTTTTGTTTTCCTTGGTTTTTTTTTTTTTTTCTTAGAATGTGCGCGCGCAAGAGAGAATGAGATAAAGTGATTTCTTTCGACTTAATTTTTAAAAAAATATTTAGTTTATAAAAGGGAAATTTTTAAATATTTCTAAACTGAAATGATAAAAGTGAGACGTTACGCTTAAGCAACTGAGGCTGCGATGAAGATCTAGTGTCAACAACGTCAACACAGTCGAGCCGATGATTAAGGCTATGCGTTTCATAGCTTAAATCCTGCATGGGAACAACTTCAGGCAGTAAATGTCGCGTATGACAGACAGTAGATGAACGGCTTACTTTTTCCGGTTGTCTACGAGATAAACAAAACATTTTTTCATAAAAAAAATTTCCATATCCCTTATAAAATTCGACAAAGACCTGATCATTACAATCTATATACAAATATTTACTCATTTAGGAGGATTACTAGTAGTTTAGGAAGGAGGAAAGTTGAAAATGAAAGGAATTAGGGAAACATGAATTCGCAAAAGTCCAATGACTTTAAGATAAGATAATCTTGCCTTGGTATTAACCTTTTTTTTTTTTTCCCAACTCTTAGAAGAGTTGCTTGTGATTTGTAAACGAATTAGTTTACTACTTACTCATTATCTTCAATGGAGCTTCGGAGAGAACTTCTTTAAAAGATCGAAGAAAAAAAAAAAGAAGAAAAATAGATAAAAAAGAAAAGTATTCTTCAAAATAATTCTCTTTAGTGTAAAAAGTCGGCTTACTTTTTGTGTCGATTTGCACTAAAACATGCACAATGACACGAACACATTGTTGACGCATTTGATCCGGTAAATGATTGAACGTCATGACCTTCATAACCGCTTAATATCGAACCATTGGCTGTTATGACATCGCCCTCCAATTTAACTGTACCTTGAAGAGCCTAAGAATTTTACATAAATTTCGGGAGAAAAAACACACATATATTTTAATATTTGTCATAAAAAATATGAATAACAGTACATAACAGCTTCAGAAAGAAGAATCTTATAGTTTTGTCTCTTTTTGATTTTATAGTAAGTAGGATTGAAAATATAAGTTATGTTTAATTTTGTCAAAAAATCTTACATTAAAAAGATGAAATTAACGAGCTTCGCCGATTCTGAAACTGACTCAGTATAAACATTTGATCTGTTTGTTCGTAAAATAAGTAAAGAAATTCGTTGCGGACACTTGAACGACTCATGAAAATGTCTCTGATCATCAACTTTTTTAAAACTAGTGGTATCCTATCCATTTGGGATAGGGGGATTGATGTCCACAATGCTCTCTTAAAAGGCGAATATAATTTTATCTCATTTCTAAGGCCAGAAAATATATTTATATATAGTAGATATCCTATGAGGTTTATTAACATCTTATATTGCTTAGCGTAAGATGTTTAAACGGCCTAAACATGTTGTTGTTGTAAGTCTTCAAAATCGAACCAGAAAATCGAAAGTTTGCTTATCTCTTTCAATTTCACAGATCTCGGTTGAAAATTATTACCACAAACCCGTCTTTTTAAACGAAAGTTTAAAATATCAGAGAATTATTTGTAAAACTATAGGAATTCGATGGGGACCCTATGCAAGCTACTGGTTGGAAATTTTGCAAGAAGATAGCTTTGCTTTTTTGCCTTTCAAGTATCAAAATATTCATAATTTTCATATATTTATTTATTTTTTTTTTTGTCAATAATCGTACCATCAGAGGATGTTTGCTATATGTGCAAGCAGAGTGATAGTTAGAAAAAGACTATTATACAAAATAAGAGAAGAAAGAAAGAATGGTCCTGCTTACGGTAAGAAGATTCTGAGATTTCAAGATATTTTTTTTACCTTTTCCGTTATCGCGTAAATTTCAGTTTCGTTTAGCTAAACTCTTAAAACAATCAGATCGAAATGTTGAGCATTGCTTATGAGTATTTCATCTTCTTAATATACTTGTTTTGTCCGAAAATATGATATACATTTCACGTAAATTGTCGCACATTCTTTTCTCTTTCATATTCCTAAATGGAAAATGTTTAAGCAATCATTAAATACAATAATACGCATATCTGCAAGAGTTTGATAAGAAATAAGAAAAACTTTTATTTAAACAAGATGGAGTGAGTACCTATGAAGTTTACGAAGTTTAGGAAAAATTATCTTATATATCAAATAGGCATTTGGAGAAATTTTCCACTCAAGGTCGAATAAAGATGTAAAGTAAAAAACAAGTGGAAAAATTAATTTGTAATAAAATTAAATTCGTAGAAGTCTACTTAGTTTTCGAAGCCTTTTGAGAAGTTTTCCGAAACAATTGCAAACCAATTAACAGATAGGAAAATAATATAGAAATAAGAGAAATTTTTGTTTCAAAAATACGCGGGCTTTGAATTTAAGCATTTGTTCATAGCTCTCATTAAGATTGGACGGACGGAAGGTTTAAGGAATTTCCAAAATCAAAAAGTGTCTTTCATATTTCGATCAAAATTTCTTAGTAATGCGAGATTTATTTGAATTCAATCTAAATCGGAGCATGTGCTTCTTTCTATATGTGTATCATATTTCCTTACGAGAAAAAAAAGCAGTATTTTTTTGACTTTAGTTTAAATTGTTTAAGCTTAAATGGAAGTAATTTACAGCCGGTTTAAGCCGAATCTTTTGATACTCATCACTCGTTTTTATACGATGTTTTTTGACATACACACTGCTATGCCGTATGCATAGTAAGGGTATCGAGTATTTTAGATAATATTTTTGCACAATTCGTCCGTATACACCCTGTCTCTTTCGGTAATTACGGGCAAAATTCAAATTCTATTCCAACAAACTTTTGATTTACTTCTTAACATTTTATTCAGATACTATTTTAAATCCAAAATTAAAGATCTACGTTGAGAAGGATTTAATTTTGATCTCATAAATAGGGGAAACCGAGAAAAATTAACAACTTTTTGATGGTAATTATCGACATACTTACAAAACACTACGAAATGCTCGGAGTGTTTAGAGAAAAACTTTGAGGGCCAATATGTGTTTTAACATAAACTTTTGGAATGACAGACAGACGAATATAGCTAAATCCAGAGTACATTACATTATGCGATACAAACATTTGTCAAATGCAATTTTATGTGGTGAGTATATATGAAAAGTTGAAAGGTATTTTTTTGGTTTTTTTTTTTTTTTTTGTTTAAAATACTCGCGTCGTTGTGTGTTAAATATTTTTGTAGATATATTTAGTTGTGAGGAGTGTACGGAGTAGGGGGTGTTGTAGTATTCTTTATGTAGACGGAAAGAAAAGGAGAGTTTGAAAATTGGCAAAAATCACCTCGTTTGTCCAAAAATTGGACTTGGTCATAAACTATTTGGTTTTTGTGGTCCAATATTTATTTATTTTACATAATACGCGGTAAAGAAAATTAAAAAAATAGAATAGAATACACAACATCACTGTTTAAAAATTATGGACAAATTCTTTTTTTTTTTTTTTTTTTTTTTTTTTTTTTTAACAAAATAATCCGTAAAAAAAAAAAAGAAAATAGTGCAACAAAATGAAATCAAGTGCAGAATTTCGAAAAACAAATTTCTTTTTCTGTTTTCTGTTTTCTACGGAAGCTGTTTAAGGAACCCAAACAGAGAACTAGCGATTAAAGGTGGTTTAGTATAGCTGGCAATTACAGTTGTTGTCAAAAAAAAAAAAAAAAAAAAAAACAAAAGAAAAAAAAAAAAAAAAGTCATACAACAATATTATATGAAAACACAAGCGTATAATATGTTTGTTCGTTTATGTACATAGTGTACGCATAATAAAAAAAAACATATGAAATAATTGAGTAAAGATCGATCGAGTAACGAAATATCAAATAACAAAAATATGCTGAATCAAAGAATTCTTTATTTTCTTTTCTTTTTTTTTTTTTTAGTTAACACACAGACACACATACACACACTTTAAACGCTATTATTAATTGGTTAAAGCAAAAACATGCACAATCAAGCTTAATACATATATATATATATACCAATAGATATTTCATTACCTGCATAGCTTGAGCTTCATCGCGTCGCTCGTCCTCGGTATTCATAGTAACGAAACGGAGGACTAAGAGATTAAGCGAAGCGGCGACAATTGCTAAACCGAATAAAATGAAAATTAAGGCGAACATAACATATTCGGGTTTATTATTAAGAGCATTGTCTTTTTGTAAAGCTACCATATCGCCAAAACCTTAAAAAAGAATGCATTTTAATAATTAATTAATTAGCTGTGAGTAGAAGAATAATTGAAAGTCTTTCTTTCCTTTTTTTTTTTTTTTTTTTTTTTATCTTTACCTATTGTAGTTAAAGTTATAAAACAGTAATATACTGAATCAAAATAACTCCAGCCTTCGAATTTCGAAAATGCTGCAGCACCACCGGCTATTGTAAGAGAGCTAAGCGTTGTAACAACGCATATTAAATCTACCTCTGAGGCGGCAGTTCGTTTGCAATGCAGCGATTTTCTCACCGCTTGAATAACAAAACTGTAAAAAATGTTTTTAAATGCAAATCATCAGAATCCTATACATTAATAATAAATAAATTTGAAAATTTCGAAACTGACCTACACCCTCCTCTAGATTATATACTATAATCCTCTTAAAAATATATTTAATAATTTTTCACTTTTTCACTTAGAACACTGGTCGGTACTTTTGTAAACTTCAACTCATCAAATAAAAATGTTAAGTGACTTTATCGACTCATTTAATATTTGATCATTATCTGGCAAATCAATTTTCAAGTTCACTTTTCTCAAATAAAAGGAACAAGATCTCAAGTATAAGTCAAATTCGAATCCTATATCCATTGTTTCACTAAATGGTTTAAGATGAATTAGCAATCATTTCCGCAACTGGTGCTACGGTTGGATATACGATATGTTAAGATGCCCACTTTTGCACCTATCCTAGTCAAAACTTCACTTAAAATTTGTTAAGTAACTAACGAAATGATACGAAACTTCTGCCAAATGCTGATGATAAAAACATTAAATTTGGTTTTCCGAGCATGCACACTTTCAAAATAAAAGTAGAAAATGATTCCGAATCGATCTGTATAATGAAAGGTGGATGGTCCACCGTAAGCCGTTCTGGATGTTACATACGTCCGCATTAACCTAATGTATCCTGTGCCACAAATATTGCTGTTATTTAATCGAAAAAAGCGGAAAAAAGCCAACGGTTTTTCTGTGCATTTTTTTATTGAAGACAACGCAAGCATAAGCATGCGGAATATAGAGAGTATTCACGTAAGAAAAATGTCGGTTTCGCTGCCGTACACTTAGCTGTTGGCAGCATACGTAAGTGAGGCTAACTATTAGCCTCATGATTACTCGCCTGGTGTACGAATAAAGAAGTCCTCAATACAGGTAGCTACTCTACAAAACAATATTTTTTTAATAGCTTTCTTTGTCTCATACAAAACGATTTCACGGAAACACGGAACTTTGTAGGAACGCGTCTATCGTGTTATAGGAAAGTTACCTGTAGATGTAAATGTACGGACTTGCGAACAATATTCGAGAATGATGCGAGAGCAACTGAATATATCGTAAGAGACGAGATATAAATGATTTGAAAGTGGACAAAAAGGCGGTCTGCACGAGTTGATCGAGAGAAAGTGAAGAAGCTAAAATACAAAGGTCAAAATATAGAGAGAACTTCAAAGTGCAAAAGATCGACTATTTTTTACAAATTGCTTAGCGGAACCAGAAAATCACAAAAGAGTGTAGCTAACGATCTACTGTACTATTAGTTAACTTGGTTTGCTTCTTCAAAAAATAAATATATCTTTACGCATTTATTTATTTACATGCATCTAATATTTGTATAAATCGAAACAAGTAATTTATTAAAGGTATGTATATAACTGACCTGCTCAGTCTATTCACTCTTTCTCCAATGCTTTGAAACATAACCAGACCCAGTGGTATGCCTACAATTGCATAACACATGGTAAATAATTTGCCACCAATTGTGCTAGGTGTCGAATGGCCATAACCAATTGTGGTCAATACTGTTGTCGCATAGTAAAATGCACCTGTAAACTTCCACTGTTGTCCGGCTTTATGTGGTTCTGATTTCAATACCACAGTTTCCATTACTTTAAAATCCTCTTCGGTAATATTATACTTTTTAATGATCATCTTTTCAACGGCTGCAATTCAAACGATAATAATAATAATAATAATAATAATGAGAGTTAAAGAGTTAAAGGATTTCCTTTAAGAGAAATTTATTACGATTATCGATTATCGGTATATATACCTTGTAGAGCTTCACAGCGACGTTTCTCAGTTTCAGATTCGAGTGCATCAAATACAGCAGCACCGACGAGTAAATAGGTAAATGTACAAACGATTAAAGATATCGTCCGTACATTTTGTTTCTTCATACTTCATTTAGAAGATGGTATATTGTGGCTAAGCTCTTAGGCGATAAAATTATTATGTACGATGATGATGATGCTGATGATGCTGATGATGCTGATGATGCTGATGATGATGCGTTAATGATGGTCAGGAAAGTCTTTAGAGTTTTTCTCCTTTTTTTTTTATTATCAATGAATGCAATAGTGTCGGTAAACGTAAACTTTGCATTTTATCACAACCTAGCAACCATATATATAGAATGAACCAACCAAGCAATTGTTGTTCTCAGAACATTTGAAATGCAACTTACGGTGTACAACTTTTTATTGGGGGATAAACGATAAACACTTTATCACAAATACACTTTGATAGCACTATAAACTATAACATAACTGTTTGGCACATATTCAACATATTGAAGTAAGCATTGGAGCATACGGAAGAATTCTTTTTACACTTCAATCACTTGCTCACTCGCTCACTCGCTCACTCACATTTACATGCACTTCCCTTATCTGCATCAATAATGCAGATTTTTTAACTGCATTAACTGATTTTTTATTTCCTTCTTCTCTCGTTCACATTTGCGATCGAGAAAGACGCAATTTACTTGTTTATGTCTATAATCGATGTGAATATGAATTCCACTTTCTTCAAGTTTTCAATAATTTGCAATCAAATATTAAAAAAAAAAAGGCTATAAAATTGTTAACATCAAAAAAACAAAAAAAAAATGTGGAAAACATAATTAGTTCATTAAAACATATATTTATATACACATGTAATAATAATAGTAGCAACGATAAGCATAATTGAGTTTTTATTTTTACTCATTTTACAGTTTAACGGCTCTTTGCTTCTTGCTCTAAGCGAAGAGTCAAGAGAGTTAGATGTAATTTTTAAGTTTTTATTGATTATTTAAAAATGTTTTCGATGTTTTGAGATTAGTTTTCTTTAGACAGGAAACGGATGAATGAATATTTTTACTGTTATTTATTATGTATATAGGTATTTATGTATATTTGTAATTTATTATATTCTTATTAAAGCCAATGAGAGAATATTGCGATATTTTTATTTATTTTATAGTTTGACTGGCTGCATATTATGTGCCATAGATTTAAATGACACAGGGTGGACATCCTAAACACCACCATCGATAACAACAATAACAACAGGCAACTAGTTTGACAGTTTCACGCATATTTCAATGTTTATAATAACTACCTGTTTGCCTTACATCTATCTACTTTACCTAAATGATGTTTCAAGATGAATTAATAATTTAATGAATTCGATTGTTTGTAATGATTTTAAATGATTTATATCGCTTTTCATCGAGCAAGTTACTGCAAAATGGAATGAATGGTAGCGAAGGAATATTTATATATATATATATATATATATATATATATGTATGGGCGTATGGGCGAAAGCAAAGAATCTCGAGTAGCAACTCAATCGTCGTGGGTGCGAATCTCAAGTGCGATAGAGTCAATAGCCTTAGACTTTAGCCTGTGAATTTATTACTCTGACTACGTTAATAATGTTAATATATGTATATAGAGAGATTTGCTGCCAATATTCTATGATTCTTTTTTAGGTTTATCGTAAACGCGGATCTGAAATATGATATCCAACACGGAAACATAATGGACCATATCGTCGATATTGTTTATGTTAAATATATTCTAGCAACAATTAATCTTTATCCTTCTACACTCCACTACAAAATGTATGATCTTTTAAATTAAAATATAAATATATTTATATATTTTCCAAATGTCAACTCATTTCGATATTCTCTTTGTGTCTATTTATGTAAGTTATGATATATTTATCACACTATAATGGTATACACATTAAATACGTCACTTGCAACATTTTCTCTTCTCAATGATGTATATCAAGTACATATGTATACAAATATGTCTATGGGTTGGTTTATCTTCTATGAAATGCAATGTTAAGCATGGAAGCGTAAATGTTACTTTAGGCAAACTCCGACCAATCGCTTTATATATAACATGCATTGTATTGTTTATAAATATAATCCCAAAATGAAGATATAGTTTGCAGATATAGTTTATAGCATTTGAGGAGAAAAGAATAAAATTTTAAGCTTCGTATAGAAACTCTTCTCTTGGTTGTAAATTTGAGGAATTGTATGCCACTACTTAGGGAAAACAAATGCACAGAAGGTTCGAATTTTTTTTTATATTTTTTAATGCCTACAGCCGGCTCTTATACGATATTTCATAATTTCGCCATAAGACAAAGAATCTTATACCGTATCGTCGAATACCATACTGTAATGCATTGTAAAGCTTTTCTTTTTTATATAATGTCCCGGCCCCTCTTCCTCTCTTCCTCTTTGTTTATGTAGGATTTTTAAAGAGCAATTCGCAAAATTTTGCTTTCATTGATCCAATTTTGGAACTAACCACGACAATGGCGGTAAAAGAAACATTTCAGATTAATCTGGCCTTCTTGTACTATGAGTCTTGTAAACGTTATGCTAACGCGGACAAAGTATGGAAAAACATGACATAATCGATTCCGCTATTCATCTCCTGGAGCCTTTCCAATGTAAACACTTTACATATGATATCCTAATTGTATTTCTCTCTATCTCTATGCTAGATGTAAAGCACAAATATATGGAAGCACTATAAGAACGCTACAGTCCTCAGTAAGCTGAATCAACAAACGGCGCTTGTAAATATTTTTAAAAAAATGTTATATAAATATCTACAATAGATTGTAAGTAAGATTATGAATCAGTCACGCCTATTTCGGCCTTCGTCAGCTAACAATGTATACAGCATGCAAGCAATTTTTGCCAGTAGCAATGGCTGGACGAGCAAGCGAATTAATTACTGCTTTCTTATACGAAATCTTTATTTTATGCATCAATTTCGCAAGACCACAACCTACTATAGTCTGAACTTGGTCTGTCGCTCTCGTCAAATTTGTTTTTGTAAAGCAATTTTTGCTAGCGTAAAGATTCGAACGGATGGATTGACGTTCGCCTTTTAATCTTATCCTAAACTAATCCATTAATTCAAGCGAAATGAAAAAGTCTAATGGAAAGCCGTTACACCTGCATACAGGTAAGAAGTACTGTTTATTCCAATAATCATCAACCAATTCGTCTTAACTAATATTATATTGCGGACGTTTCTGATGATGAATGCTGTCGCAAGACCAAACTGCTTGTGCTTTTTTATTGTAAATGAAATTAAATATAGAAATTCGAGAACTAAAAAAAAAAAAAAACATTTATTTAATGTTGAAATTTGAACTTCTCTGTTGAAGAATGTCAGACTTTGGCTTGGAGTTGCTATGTTATTTATAGCATTTATAGCAGAGAAATATTTTGCATTCGTTTTGCTTTACAGCAAATATGCTTAATTTAGGCAAGACCTGCTGGTTAGATCTTCCACGTATTAAGACATATATAAAAACTCGACAGAATTGTGCAAAGAGGTAGCAAAAATACTCGTCTTTAGGGAGGAGAAATTAGTGCTGCATCCATCTGTTATCAAATCAATCCAAAATCCGCGACCAGCATCTTGCATCTCCAGATATCATAAAATAACTAAACAGGACTTTGCAATTGCCTAAGTTTACTTAAATCTTCATTCTCTGTGTTTTCGAAAGTCGTGATGATTCGAGAAACAAGTTACAATTGCACAAAATGCCGCAGCATGACTCGCATGCGGCGTTCGTTTCGAGATTCCGAAATGCCAATGAATTTACGACTGATAATCAAAGTCAGACGAAGTCAGACACAGTTCTCAAGAACTAGAAAAAGATAATAACGCAAGCTTAGACGGTAAGAAATAACAAAGAAAACTTTGAATTTCACAAATCCCCTACTTCGAGAAGTTTTATTACAGATTTTTACGTAGAATAAACATTAATAAACACTAATGAGTATTTGCACTTTTAAGCAGGAAACATTCGTAGAGCCTTAAATGGAAAAACTACCTTAAGAATGCAAATCATAATTGAGAAAAATGAAAGCAAAAAAGAAAAGTTTTTTAACGTGTTTTATAAATCCTCTTCTGAACACTTGAATTGCATTCGTTTGCTTAGTCCTTTTTCAAATAATTTTCTCATTTTTTTTTTTTTTTTTTTTTTGTTTATCGTTGTAAAAACTACACCAGCTTAATATAGGTTACCTGTTTTTTCTTTTTTTTTTTTTTTCTTTTTTATGTCTGCTATTTAGAGCTGTGTAGAGTGTTGTGTTTGTGCGTTGTATGAGATGTGAAGTGTAATGAATAATATTCCTAGACTGAATGTTATATTAATTAATTAGGAACTTTAAAGGAAAAAGTATGTCGTTTTCATTACAATTTTATTGTATGATACTAATTTTGTATGGCATCGTTATTTATGCGTTGACGCTGACACTGAAATGGCCATCATTCACTTTAACGTAATTAAAAATTTCGTTTAGTTCGAGAATTACACAGTTATTCACACACATATATATTATTTTATTTACGGACACTTTTTTTTATTTTTTAAAAAGTACGTAGACAATCAATTACACGGACTGAGTTTGCATCTCTTGTGGTTTTTGTTACTGCGTTATTGTTGTACGCATGGATAACGTTAGAGAACAGAATATTAAAAGGCAGCAACAACAGAAATCATTTATTGTAGTCTTTACGTATATATCCATGTATATAACCATTATGTAAAGTTAACACACACGAACACAAAAGGATACAACCTTTTATATTTTATGTCACTTTTTTTCTATTCCACATTACAAAAAAAAAAGATGCTTTATTTATTCATATATTTTTCATTAAAATAATATACTAATTTTTTTAAATTAATATATATTTAACTCCTTTCTTTCTTTCTTCTTAAAATGCAATATATTTGGCAGAATAGGGAACTTGTGCAGAAAATTTTTCCTTCATAATGTAAAAAAAAAAAGGAATTGAACAACTTCTTTAATAGTTTCTATTTTGTTTTGCCGTAAATCTCGTAGTATATTTGTTGTATGTGCCGAATAGCAGGAGGATACTTATAGGATAGGATACTTAGATTTTAAACACGTTTTCTCTATATATTTAAACGTAAAGTAAATAACAAATCTGGCAAAGCTTGGTAAAAGAATTAACTGAATTATTCCACATTGTTTGTATATATTTTAAACTTGGCACTTCTATTAGTAAGCTTTTTTCTTGCTTGTCTCATTGACAACACTGTTAAAATAGTGAGTGCAAGAGCGGAGATTCCTTCCTTTTGCTCTCTCCCGTTCTCTCTCCTTCTAAACTTGGTTACTTGGCAGCAGTGAGTCTGTACTGACATCCTGGGGAAGTAATCACGTAACTGAAAGTTAACTTTCGCCGTTTTTGCGAAATAGCTGAATACAAGAGCGAATGCTAAATTATTCATATCTGATTACTTCCCTCAATCGTTTAACGAGAAAGAGAGAGAGAGGGAGAGAAAGAGATTGTGATATTGGTACATTTTCAATGAAAGAGTAATAAGGTAAAGCAAGAATTGTTAGTAAAGTAAGAGTAACCGTTTTTATCAGGGATGTTTAATCCAATTTCAATAAAAGCTGTTTCTTTTTTTTTTTATAAACTATATTTTATTTTCAGGACAAAGAAATTCATATACAGAAATGATTTATCATAAAAATACCCAAAAATATAATAACGATTATTAAGAGTTTGTAAGCTTCGAAGAATAAAAAAAAATATCCTTCAAATTAATTAATCATCATTTAATACAATATTACAACCTAGTAATCCGCGGCCAGACCAACTTTGCGGTATTAACATCATATCCAAGACTATTCCGTTGCGCAAAACTCGTAACGGAATTTTTTGATTTTGCATATGCTTTACAAGTGCTCCTATGGATTGCAGGTCACCATTAAAATTGCTTGAAGTAATTGTACCAAAACGCGCTATATGGTCATCATTACGTAAACCCTAAATGAAACATTTTAAAAAGCGAAATATTTTTTATATGTATGGTCTTTTGGGCAAAAAATGAGTATTCTTATTATTATGATCTTTTTTTAAGGCCAAAGTCTCCTTTGCGTGAATAATGCATTCTCCAGTTTGTCGCTACTTGCTTTCTTCCGGTAAAAAAGAGAGACAGGTCATAAGGGTGAAACAAAAGAAAAACAAGAACGGACCTTTAATTTAAAAAAAACACTTGAAAAATATTTAGTTTGCATGCTCTATTACATGGGATGGGCATGACCAATTCCTCCACTTTCGTACACGCACTATAGAGTGTTTAAGTTTATCATCATACTTTTTCTTTCTGGTAGTTTTGAAATAATGAGTAAAAACCAATTTTCTTGCTTCTAGAAATAGAGGCATTCCCATGCATCATGGGCGCGTCTATTGGCCGTTTACGTCGTATGGTGCGGATATGTTCATCCGTGCGATCAGAAGAATGTTTACAACAGATAATACATAGAAAACTAAGCTTAGATGGATCCAAAATTTGACACTAGTCAAGGTTATATATGTTTGCAGAGTCTCTGAAGCTTCCTTTCTCCCTCCCTTGCTGGTGAGTATAAAAAAAGCACAGCTTTAAAGAGGTATTACAAGGCGATTAATACTACGTCTTAAACAATTTTTGTGCCTGGTTCGTCTCATAACAAGGACAATTGCAAGATTACGATTACAAATGTTGTACGTTTACCGGTATGTTATACCTCCGCCGATTGACGTAAGCAATAGGCTGTTCATTGTCTTGGCCAGGTTTACATTTGTTCGGGCCAATTCAGCAATGGTCGTTAAAGTTAAATGTCGGGACTCAAGCACGGAGATCCTCCTAGGCAATCTATGTCGAATTTTATCTTTTATATATTTTGCTTTTACTTATTCTTCATTCATGTGTAAGGACTTTCACTTTGAAATTTTAAATAGATGGATAAGTGGAGAGAAAGAATTCTTATATAACTTTGGATTTCTCGCAATTGACTTTTTTACTGACATCCTCCAAGTCAGTTACTAATTCCAAGTCATTACGCACAACTGTTACAATTGGCCTTCTGGGTCGTCTAAATTAGTTTTCAAAGAGTCCTTGTACTTCAGTGCTCTTGAACTTAGTGATTTTTAAAAGTGGTAAGTGAACATGCAAAAGCGGTACAATATTGGCACACTTTCTTCCTTACACATTATTTATAAAAAAATATAAAAACCCATATCCAGTCTCCGTTAAAAATATAAAAATCTATATCCGATCTCTGTTACAAATGTAAAAACTTCTATGTAGTCTGTGTTGAATAAATAGTATGTGTTGAGAACAACGAGAGAGAACTCGAATCGACTTCCATCGACGTGTGGACACTCTTTCTGGGACGTCCTGAATGATTTCTAGGTGAGGAATGTATCAACACGTGCTCTCCGGCATTAGCAAGAGGCACGCATTGGACACATGTTTATTTAAACTTGAGTTATTTGGTTTCCGCCCAACAACTCACCGCTTTTTCTGCCGGAGAACCGGGAGCAACATGATTTACTCTGACTATAACCTTGAGATCTATTTCAGAAATAGACGGCTGATCCTCTTGCGATGAATCCTCCATTGTCTCATTGTCGGCATCTTGTTGTTGAGCTTGCTCCGTTTGCTCGCCACTTCCAGTTTCTGCATGTAATTTATGCATGAGTTTCTCAATTTCATTCATCAATGCTTTATGATCGTTTTGCAAGCAAATTATTTGTTGTCTTGCTTGGCGTACTTGATGCACATCTATATCATTGCGTGGATATCCTTCAACATCCACCAGAGGACCATGCATTCCTATATCGGCATTCTTTAAATGTTAAAAACATTCTCTGCTTTAAGCTTCTTTACAAAATAATCCATTTAGATTAACACACAGAAACACACATACATTTATCAAGATTTGGCCAAAGTCATTAATCCTGGCCTCCAATCTATCCTTGTCGGAGATCAATTGTAATAATTTCTCTCTGGTTGGATTAGGATTCGGTACACCACCCATAATGTACGATTTTGTGATTTTAATTATTTTTCTAAGAATTTTTAGTTTTAAATTTGTTGTGTTTAATCGAGGAAAATAACAAATCAAATTATTGAAAGAATGTTAATGAATTCGTGACAGATTCGCAATATTGTTATCGCTGACTAGACTAGACGGAGTATATTTTCGGCAACCCCATCGAACAGCTGTTTTCATTGTCAGAAAATACTTATAAGAGATGTCTTGATTTCACTTTTGCGATTTTTGTGCTTTAATTAAATATACAAAAAATTCCTCAATTATCCTTGAGATTAATATTAAAGTCTTTAACAATTTAATTTGATATAACAAGTCCTAAAGTGTAACGAAACAACACTGGCAAGATCTATTATAGATATAAAAATATTCTAAAGTTATTTTAAGGCCGGGTCTAGGGCAAACTTTGATTAAAGTAAGAAAAAAAGAAAAGGAAAATAGAGTAAAGTTCTTTTTACGTGCTAAAGCAGAAAATGAGTTTGAACAGATGGATACAAAGACGGGAATATGGCTGGCCATTGCAACGAGGAGATCGCGACTTAATAATGCATCGTGTTTACAGTTCAATACAAGATCATAAGCATTGGAATGATTTGAACAATAAACCCAATCAAGTCTCAGAGTTTGGAGCAGTGTTTAATTTGGAATTCTCACCAGAAGGGTACCTCCTAAATATCTAATCTCTTCAACTCGGAAAAAAGCACTAATAACTTATGATGAATACATATTATTTTTCCAGCAATGTCCTTGTAGCTGCCTGTGAGAAGAAATCTATATTGCTATTTGATGCTATAACTACCAAACAGACTCACAAGATAACTGATGCACACTCAGACAATGTCAATTGTATCAAGTACGGATTCATTTCATTCATTCTTGAGTTTTTGCATTTTTCTTTTAATTGATTTTTCTTAAGATTTTTAGATGACCGTATGTTCGCTACATGCTCCGATGATACAACGGTAGCTTTATGGGATTTACGTTATTTGAAAATGAAAGTGCGGAGCCTACATGGCCACTCTAATTGGGTTAAAAATATTGAATATTCGCAAAATGACAAACTGTTAGTCACATCAGGTTTCGACGGCAGTATATTTACGTGGGACATTAACTCTCATACCGAGCAGGGTTTAATATATCAAAAAGTTTTTCATACCAGCGGCCTTATGCGTTGCCGTTTATCGCCTGATGGCAGTAAATTGGTGATTTGTTCCACTGGTGGTTATCTCATGATCATACATAGTTTAGATCTGACGACACTTCATAAAGATTTATGTGGCTTTAGGGTGAGGTCGTTAATATTGACTAATCAGATTTTTTAATATCGTTATGGGTTATATAGCCTAGCATGTATCGTTTAATGCAAATGGGTCATCAGTATATACCACAAGCTGCTAAATTTGATCATGTTTTCTCTAAGAAACAAAAAAAAAATCGTGTTGAACTCGTCACCGATTTCCCTGAAGACAATGATGCTGAAGTTGTTTTAGCATTACAGGTCAGAGAAACAAAAAAGAGAAAAAGCAAATTTGATAGCAAGTTATATAAAAATTATTTACTAATTAGATTCATCCCTGTGGCCATTCAATACTAAGTCGTAATATAAGTTATGATGAAAAAACTGAATGGTCTTGTATACATAACATTAATGAAGAACCAGGAGATATTACTGAACGCATTGTGGACACTACTTCGTCACGTCGAAAACGCAAACTAACATGTGGGAGTAATGATGAGTTACCCAATCATCTGGCAGATGAGGAAAGTGGCGATTCTACAGATGAAGTACGTTACAGCATAAGTCGCAGACAACGTACATTGAGGCCACGTTTAACTGGTAGAACTGGTAGGTTAATTAATTTATTGTTGCGTTTTCTCAATAATTTATTATGTTTTCTTTCATGCAAATAGCTCCACCTCCTCCACCTCCTCCCCCACCACCCATATCAAGTTCTTCTACAAGTTCTTCAAACAATGCTAACTTACAAAATAATGACCAACAACAAGTAGCAAATCGTCCAGAATCGTTTGTGCCCGATATCTGGGCAGCAGAAGTTACCGTTGAAGAGCGAGCTATACGTCAGAATAGAGCACGCACTTCTAATTCAGTAACTGGTTATAATTATGTATACGCTATAAGCAGTGGCGTGCTGCCAGCAGCGGCAGCTAGTTTAGCGACTGCACAACGTAACAGCACTGGCAATGCTTCTTTAAGGGGAAGCAACAACACAAACAGTAGCAATAATAGTAATAGTAACTCTAGACGACGTATTTCTTTATCTTTAAACAATGACGGCGAGTCACCCTCTATTCGCTTACGTTCATCGTTTTCGGATCTCGACCCTTCTAATGATGGTAGCAGCACTTCTAGCAGTGACTCACCGCCACCCATACCAATTGAACGTATTCGTGTGCGGGCTTGTCAGTACGGTGGACGACAGATATTTCAAAATCCCAAAAAACTAATGTACTACATTGTTGAACCTAATAAGGGTAAAGGCTTTATTAAGGAGCCTTGCTTTTCGGCCGATGGTCGTATCATATGCTCGCCATACGATAACGGTATACGATTGTTGGGCTTTACAGATACGTGTTCAGAATATCCGCGTCATAGCAGTGCGATTGAAGTGATTAAACGCGAGCCACGTCCACTGGTAGTGATCAAGGAGATCAAAGTTCATCAAAACATTGTATTAAGTACGAAGTTTAGCCCTCGCGAACCCTTACTTGTTACCGGTTGTAAAAATGGTAAAATTGTATGGTATCATCCCAATTTATAAAATAATTCAAAGGACAAGAATAAACAAAGGACATGATACGGAAAAAAGTTCTTCAATAAAAGCAGATAACAGATGAATTTCTATGAATATCCGTAATCCTGTTGGCGGACTTATTTCTTTTGGCCATTTTTTGGTAATTGTACTAACGAAATACTTCTTTTTTTTTTTGTAAGAAATTTTACGATGGCGCATTTGATGTGGTATTTGATCGGTTGAAAAGTATCTTTAATTTCGAAAGCTATTTACCGTAAAGTAAACTAACTGACTAAGACGTCAAATACCCGATTTCAATATTCATTCTATTTTTTATTTATTTTTTGTTTGTTACTTTTATTCCTTTTGTTAAATTTTTTTCACTTAGAGCGAAAAGAAAACCCCCTTAAGTACATACATTATATATTATAACTTCCAACCGATCATATTTCATCCATTCTCATTTTTCAAACGAGTGATTTTTACATATTTATTATGTATGCTTCTTTATTGTGGTATTAAATATTAAAAAAGCAAATTCGTTACAGCATTCATAGCTGAGAGAGTTCGTACCGAAATCTTACGCTTCTAGAGTAGTGGTGATAATTTAAAGTTGAAAAAGATTCAAAAATTGTTTAAGAAGAACAAGAACAAAAACGACTTAAATATGTAAATGAATTCCTTTTCTGTTATATTAGGATACACACAATATACGTAGTACCTACTACAGGTACATATGTATATTTGAGTGTATTTTCTTGGTCGACGATGAAAAAGAGAGAGAAAAAAAAAAAAGAAAGAAAAAGAAAACTTAAACTAGAAAAAAATTATTAATTATAATTATAATTATTGTATATAATTATCGTGTTGGGAATCGCAAAACTTAAACCAATTATGAAGTGAAGAATTTGTATTTTCCCCCATGGGGCCACATTTTCAATAATAATTACCGTAGCCACTCCATTGACCGTAACCACTATACCCAGAGCCATATTGCCAGTGATTATAATAGTTGTCATAGGACTGAGGTGGAGGATAAGAACCGCTATTATTCTGTTGCCCGTAATAAGCTGTGGAATTACCCGAATTGTAATTGTAATTTGCAGTATTCTGCACGGAACCATTATTGTAGTTAACTGGATTTGAAGTTGAAATTGAACTAACGTCTTTCGCAGGTTTGCGGCTGGGACTAGAATCGCTTCAATTACATATACATAAAATTACAAAAATTTATTACATTATGATTTATCCGGTTGGTGAAGTATATATTTACCGTTTCTTTTTAGCTTCGTTGGCTTTATTTAAGGCTAATTGTAAGGACCTCTGGGCATCTTGAAGGCCTCTAGCAGTACTGCCAAAATCCTCTAAAAATTCCACTTTACGTTGAGCAAACAGCACTTTTTGTTCGGGATCAATATTTTCACGGGCCATAAATTTGTCCATAATCAAAACTACCTCGTCCTCATCTACTCGCTGCCTTTGCAAAGCTAAATCGATCATTTGCAAAGCTACCCGCGTATTGGCTGAATCTTTCTCCAAAGCTTGCCTCAATACGCGTAACCCGCCCTCCAAATCATTGCAAATCTTATTCAAGAAACGCGCATATTTAATGGCCAAACTGCCTGCAATATTCTTATTTTTGGCTGCATTAATGTAGTGTTCGTAAAGCTCCTTACATTTATCATGATCGCCACGACGGCGTTCAACATTGATACGCCTATAGGCGACTTGTAATAGATTGGGCACTCTTTTCTCCAGATTAATTAGTATTTCGGCAGCTTTATCGAAATTGTTTTGACATTCTTCGAAGGCGGCCCACATCAAATGCAAACTAGGTTTATCGGGATGATGTATTTCGCAGGCGCGACGATATACGTCTCGTGTAATGGCAGCATTATCGGTTTGATCATGTTGCGTCTCCAGGTAACGAATCATCTTTAACCAAAACTCATCGTACAGGGCGCAGGCTATGAGGCAACGTTCAAATAATACCAAAACCCTTTTTCGATCACCTTTCTCAATTTCAAAATCTAAATAGTCTTTCCAATTTTTTAACTGACAACGTTCCAAAGGTTTAACATGGAAATAAGGCCGCTTGATACCCTCTTCATAAGACCAACGAGCTGTAACAGCGGCTACCGTTGATTTGTGTAATTTACGTCGTATTGATACAATTTTGTCCTTGATGGAGGATACCTCGTCTTCGCTTAGTGTACTCAAATCAGTAAGATCATCGCCAGGCCTTTGAAGTTTTTCGTCGACATCAATCGGCCCGGCTTCTCTGATACTCTTACAATCTTTATCTTTTTCCTTGTTGTCTCCGACTTCTTCGTCTTTTAATTTGTCTTTTTCTCTATGCTCAGATTCTTTTTCTTTAGAACTTGCACGACGAGACTTTAAACGATTAGAAGTCGGCAATTTTCCATCTCTCAACTCTTGTCTGATACGTTTTATTTCCTCCGGAGAAATTATATTAATTATTGAATGTTGATTAATCAAATCTTGAAAGCTAAACAAAAAAAAAAAAAAAAAAAAAAATTTTTTTTTTAAAGAAATTAATCAAGAGACGTTTATCATATCCACACAAACAGACGCACACAAAAAAAAAAAAAAAAAAAGAAAAGAAAAAGTGAAATCTACTCACTTATCGAAGTGACCACTGTAACCTTGGGTTGGAATGGCTAATAAACGATCATATATTTTGACCATACGCTGATAGCATTTATTCTCATTTTCCCATTTTAGATAGGCATCCCAGAGCTTATCTGAACGAAATTCCAAACCACACGCCTCGACGGCACGTTCAAATTGCGAACGTATATAATCCTCTTGATCGGCATGATTACTTTTCACATGTGTTAAATAATGTATCCACAAGTCCACCGATAGGGGTATAGCTTCTAAGCCACGTTCAAACACCTTTATGAATCATTTTCGATTTATATTGAGAGTCGGTGTAGTAATTTCAACGAAGGATTCATTGGAAGAGAGCGAGAAAAATAGAAAGAAAGAAAGACTTTGGCACAAGTTCAAATAATATAACATGTAATTCACAGATACTTAACTGTCCTATGGTTTGTTTTTTTAGTGGAACTTTTTCAAAAATTTTCTGTATGTTTATACGTGCGCACGTGTGTGTGGAGAAAAGAAGAAAACCCAAAACAAGAAAGCAAGAATGAATCCAATAAAGTTATGTTCAAAGGATTTAGTCCTACTACTCATTTTACTAGACAAGAATGAGGGACGGACAGAGTTTCATGATGAAATTGGAAGCTTTTGTTTACGGAATTATTGTTATTGGTTTAGCGATTTTTGAGAATACGTACACATTTGATAGCTTGAAATGCTAACGCACATATGATAACTTGGACCTTCTGAAGGTTAGATTTGCTATACAAGTCAATTTTAGAAGTTGTTTCATCCATGATATGCAAAAAAAACCAAAATAACTTTAGCAAGAAAGAAAATCTAATTTCGGTCAAAACCGAATCTTGTAGATATACATCACCGTTATCATAACAAAAATAACTAAATTTTCATACTCTATGATATTGAGGGAGCGCGGTTGATTTTGTACATTTTCGAAAGAAAATTGGATTTTGTTTGCGGTATGTATTGTATATTATGACTACTAAGCAAAAGATACGGAATTTAAAGCTGTTCACAACTTAGTTGCCTGTGTGTCCCTTGACCGATTTTGATCATTTTTAAATCCTTTTGCAAATTTGTAGACGATATCTTCATATTTCCCAGCAGAAGAACATTTACTACAGACCTACACAGTGGAGCAGACGGACACATGGACATGATTATATCGTTCCAAGATTTGAAGTTGATCAAGAAAATGTATACTTTGAGGGATCTGCGAAGCTTCCTTGTGAGTGTTGCAAACGTTTTGACGAAATGAGTAGATCGCTCCTCATTGTAAAAATAGGAAAAAAAAATGAAGTAGGTAGGTAAGTAAGTCGGTCAGTCTACCCACACGGGCATTTTCGATTTGGATTCCAGAAACATTTCTCGATGCTTAATTCAACTTTCAAACTTAGTCTGGAAGAGACGGACCTTTTTTCATACTGATCAATTTAGAATCACTTTCTGAATCGAACTAAGCTTATTCATCCGTTACATCAGTACCTTTTGTATTCTAGTATTCAATCTATGGTCTGAAATTTTTAAGATATTTCAATGAGATTTGATACACTGCAGAGTTTTGGTCCAAAGACGAATGCTATTAAAGAAAAAGTAAGAACATTATAGTCGGGCAAGGCCAATGTTTAAATACCCTACACCACATTGTCTAACGCAATTTTTATTTTTGTATGAAATTACTATTATGGGTAAATTTTCATCACCACATATTAAAACTTAGGCTTTTCTAATCCACAAAGGATTCATTCATCTTTGTGAAAGTCCTTATTAATGTAGGATTCAAAAAATAGGCCGAAATGGTTCAAATTTGGTGCAATTAATTTTTTTATGCTACATTGCTATTATGACATAATTTGCAACATGAAGGATATAAAATTATACCTTTTGGAAATATGAAATTAATTTCACGTTGAGAGGGGGTTCCAAAATTGCCCCACCCATTCCAAAGTTTTTATACCAATTTAGAATGCCAAAGTATTACTATTTAGTCACTTTTGCCGAGAAATTTTGAAAATTGCAATTTTTTTCCATATAACGACTTTTTAGAAGAGGACTGGGATGGTCGTAACATAGCGTTCGTCCTTGGGTCGAAACACGTTATTGTACCAAATTTTCATCAAAAAATATCTCGGAAATTGCGACCTGTAGCTTGAACACAAATTTACACATGCAGACAGGCTTAGGTCAATTTAGATTATGATTCTAACTGGATCGATGTAATAAAAGATGAGTCTAACTTAAGCCCTTCTACATGTTACGTACGTTTGCACTAACTTAATATACTCTTCACTACAAGTGGTGTCAGATATAATTACAGCCTAATTTGAAGACTCGTCATTTGATTAAGTGTACGGCAGCGTGGGGTATTTAATCGTGGACCGTGCTCCACTAAAGTGTTCTTACTTGTTTTACTTATTATGAATCTGTTTGACATGGAAAATGTTCTGTAGTAATTAAGTGAAAAAATTTCTGTCAAATTCTAACCTTCTATTCCAATCGGAGTCCGAGATGTTCAACAAGAGAGGAGGACAGACATCGCTAAATGGTATCTAAATCATATTCTAGTCAAGCATGTTGATGTATATTTATAATGATTCTGATGGAAATTTCCTTGAATGTTAGGAACAAACTTCTCTTAGGTCTTTTATACCTATTATTACTTGGGGATGGAGGAGCAGGCAAAACGCAGCACATGTAGCACAATCTATAGGCTTGTCTACGAAAAATCAATTTTTTTTTTTTAAATGCGAAATTTCTATTCTCTAAAACATTTCGCTGATTAGATGAACTCAAGCAATTTTTTAAAATAAATTATTATTATTAGATGGCATGGTATAGAAGTTGAGTTGTAACGAGAAAGCAGTAGCAAATTACAAAAGATGCTCAATTTCCCCCTCCCAAACAATGTATGACTATTGAACGTATTGACCTTAGCTGTGAAGAAAGTACATGCTTCTTTGAAATGCTGAGTTTCGCAATTAAAATATTTGGGTTTTAATAAGTTTTCCTTTTATTTTCGAATAAATAAAAAGGGTGCAAGTATTTCGTTTGAAAAATTGGAAAAGGAACGGGGGATAGGAGCTCTTCAGTAACAAGTGGAAGAGGAGATATATATATATATATATATATATACACACACACACACGCGCATAAATAACACAGATACACACACAAATAACGCAATTTAATGCCTCCTATGCACATTTATACTTTGCTGTGAAGGGCAAAACTATATATGTTTAAAATTTGAAAATTCAACTTAGAAACTAACTTAAATACCTGTTTTTTGTTTTATTTTTTTTTTTTTTTTAAATAGATACTTTAAAAAATACGTATAATAAAATGCTTACTTGCAACACTCAAAACAATACGTAATAATTCACAAGTTGCACTGAATTTCATTTAAATTCATTTGTACTTACGCCTGAATGTTGTGGTAGTGGTAATAATTAATGGAAGATTAATCTTTGGAACGGTTTTTTAAAACATTTCTTTAACTGGTTATACAACAAAACAAATGCATGAATTTTTTTTTTTTTTTTTTAAGTAAATTAATACAGAAATCGTGATATACAAAATATATATAGAAAAAAGAAAAGAAATCATTTAAGCGATTGTGAAACGTTTAGTTTCGTTTGTTTTGGCGGAATTAGGTTAAAAAATTAACTCTGATGAAAATCCCTCCCCCCGCGCAGCTACAGTCACACGGTATGTAGCTAAAGTATCTATATATTTCGCCTACACTTTGCAGGTGCTTTCGCTCACATCATGTAATTTCTAATTTTTGCTGCAGTTGTTGTGTTTTTTTCATCAAGTTCTTTTTTATTGAATGAATTTTTATTAAATTATAATAAATTGCATTATAATATATATATTGAAAAATACAACAAATTGCAAACGTATTTGATTGAATTCGAAAGGTACTCACCGCGTTGCAGTTGACTTTAATACCCTTGCGCTTCTCATAATCGGCATATTTACGCCAATAACCATAACAATAAGGATAATGCGCAAGAAAAGCGTCATAGGCTTCACGAGCCGCCTCGGCATCCGACTAAATACATATATAAAAACGTTTATTGGGACTCGTATTTTCCATAGAGATCGTAAACCAAATATTTATATTTAGAATGAAAAAGAAATGTACCTCGTTATCTACATATTGTAACAAGTAAGTCCAACCGGTAAAATCGGCCGGATCGTCTTTAACTGCCCTCCAGTACTTATCTAAGTCAGGCAATTTCTTTCTTTCCTTTTCTTTATCTTTATCGCGCTCCTTATCTTTTTCTTTTACCCCATCTTTCTCCTTATCACGCTCCTTTTCTTTATCCTTGCGTTTGTCTTTATCTTTGTTGTCTATGTTTTCTGCAAGAACCAATCGAAAGCGTAAATGAGTAATGATGTTGTTACTATATTTTTCTTAATGCGCTCTTACCCTCAAATTTAGCTTTTTTTTCGACTGGTGGAGAATCATTGCTTTCACATGTAGGACTCATGGGATTATATTGTTCGTCCTTTTTTTTGCTTGTCTCATCTTTCTCAATTTTTATTGATATTGTCTCATTAATATCGTCAGCTTTACGTTTCTTACGTGTGATACCACTTTCATCACTCTGAGACGGTGATGGGCTATGCTTATCACCCATATTTGTAGATGCGGGTAATTCGTCTTCCGATATTACTTCAGCATCGGCTGGAAGCTCAGCTCGCTGAGGCGCTGGCAATTCTTCATCTGAGACTTCTTCAGCGTCATTTATTTCCGGTTTGGTAGGTAACGGAAGTTCGTCTTCGGACACCATTTCCGTGTTGACAATTGTGGCATCACTTCCGTCCATCCCGGCATTGAGCTCCTCAGCGATAGCCGGCTCTGACAAGGAATCATCTGATTCCATTTTTTCACAATTTTCTATAACTTTGCTTTGCTCAAATTCTTCTCGTTTGCTGCCATCGGTTTCAGATTCACCTCCGCCCACCGAAGGTAAACTGTTCGCGTTATCTCCAGCCAGCGAAGCCAGCAAAGAATTTTCTACTCCGCCATTGTTGTCAAGATTCGCATGATGATCGCCAGCATCTTCTGAGGTTTCCGATTGTGCGCACACCGTACCGAAAGGAAATGAAGAACTTTTTTCATCTATGGCTGTTTCCGAGCTAACGACTGGATTTTCTTCTTGAACCACTTCGTACATATCCATTTCTTCACGTGGTATCTGCTCGGGATCTTCATAAATTATGCATTCTTCTCCCTCAACAGTGGTCACAATTTCTTCTACCACTTCTTCTTCCAATATTTCAGCTACATGGCATTGATTCTCAGGGTCCATAAGAACACCTTGAGCCGCTTCAGCCAACATCTCTTGAATAATAGCAGAGTTCTCTTCCTGTTGCTGTTCTTCCTGAAGAGTGTGTATGCTGTTATTCTCTTCCACGGTGTGTTCGATTAACTGAAAAATTTGGAAATGAAAACGCTTTCTTTTACCACGTGCGTCACTGCAAATTTATGACTTTAGAAGATTGAAATGATCAGTTGGCCCTTGCAAAAATCATAATTGTCCTTTCCTTTCAGATTGGACAAATCATTTGCACATGGAACTACGTCTCACATGCAAGTCTTTAGCAAATAATTGTCTTCATACTTATTTCTAGAAAACATTGATCTGCTGCTGTCAACACGCACTCACCTGTTCTTGCGCCTGTTTTCTAGCGTTACGTCTTGATGATCTTGAGGGGGTAACAGGACATATTTGAGAGCTTGTCAATTTACGACCGGAACGAGTACGACGCCCTATAATTGGTTTTTTAATTAACGAATTTTTATTATGCAAGCACAACACAAAGAAATATATGCCGCCTTTTTTGAAGCTTTTGCTGTCTCACGTTTTATTCTTCCAATTTTCTATATGTCATGTGGCGTTCGCACTAATTTTCACTGTATAATCTTTGAAGTCAAAAACACCGAAATTTGTAAAATTTCGATAACAATTCACACTTTAAGCATTGGCGGATATTTTGAGAGTCTTATTAAGCTTCCCAAAACAATAATTTAAGGAGAAAACTCACCTTGAAGTTCTTGTGAAACGATTTCTTCCTCATTAGTTGACGCCATTTTTATGCAATAATCTTTTTGCCGTCAATTGTCAATCGTTATGTCAACAACTCTGTTTTTGGTATATACATATATATATATATATATATATACATATAATAATAGATAATAGCAGATGCGTTTCAATTTGCTCTCATAATAAACCCACAAAGCGTTTAACGAATTTTGTTTCATTCCCACCGGATGGTATACAATTTCCAGTAGATATTATATGAACTTTATAAGGATAATAAGTATCATTATATGTTTTTAGAAATAATGGAGGGCAGTGTATACAAGTTGCAGGGGAGATTAGATGGGGGGCAAAGTGAACGCATATGAAACAAGGAAATAATCATTTACTAAAAATTAGCTTTCGCTGTTGTACTCAACTGTTTGGTAAAAATGTAAGTTAACTTTCAGCTACCTACAGATTACCTCCAGAGTTTTATTTTCAATTCTAGTGTAAAAATGAAAAACATACATATGCCAATAATGAGATTAAACGAAAACGACCGAAACGAAAATTGAACATTTTGAAAGTGCGGAACGTTGTGATTTGGACCAGTAATGGCTTTGGAATGAAAAACGCTAACGGAAATGAATGAAAGACGTACTAAAATATCAAATCTTATTAATGTATATATAATATTAAAAGGTTAAAAGGTAATGTAGAAAACAAATTGAGATTTATTAAAGAGTAGCAATCCTTTAGAGCTTTTTCATTGGAGGGGTAAGGAAGAATAAGCTCTTCTATGATTCTAAATTATAAACAACAGTTATAATATCGAATTGGAAAACAGAGAAAATAGAATTGTGAATATAAAAAAAATGTTATTTTCTTTCACGTACGCCATTACGGAATTTACCATTTTTAAGAGACACCCTATACCGTTTAAGATTTACTAAGTCCTCTCCTATTGAAAATGTATGTTTACGAAAAAGCAGCAAGTGTAGAAAGTGAAAAAGTGACAGATATGAAAATAGCGTTAAAAGAAAGAAGGAAACAAAATACAGAGGGGTTGCTGATGCATTTTGTCTAATGTAAAAATTTTTCCAATTTCGTAGTTCTGCGAGCAATTTTTTTTTGTGCCGCATAAGAAAAAATGTTTTAAAGAACTCGAAAATTTGGGATTTTATCTTTTTTCTCAAATAAAACACATAAATATTGAAAAAGTATTTTTTGGCTTTATGATAATTGCACACAAAGTTGAAAAAATGGAACGTTTCGCTATAAAAATTGACAAAAAACTTAAAGCAAATTTATATAAAATATGTCGCTTGTGCGGCATGGATCATCCTGATATGGTGCAGATTTTAACAGAAAACAAAAATGAAGAAGAAAAGGACCCCATAATGGTGGATGCTGAACCCCAATTATCGCAAAAAATTCAAGAATTAATTGGTCTGACGGTAGGCTGTGTTTGTGTAAAATTTATTTCTTTAACTAGAAATATAACGATTTCCAATGGTCCTGTTTTAGGTATCGAAAGATGATAAGATGCCTCAAACAATGTGCACGTTGTGTGTGGAAAAGATTAATGATTTTTATGAGTTTAGAGACATGTGCTATGCTACCAATGCACAAACACGCAAACTTTTAGGTCTCAAACATCAAGAAATTAAAAAGCAACTTCCCGTGTTAGATATTAAAACCGAGTTATCAATTAAAGAGGAAATGAGTTCTTCTTCAGTGTTAATTAATAAGGCTAATAATCGTAAAAGGAAATCAGAAGACGTAACAGTAAAAAAAGAGACATCAGCCAATGCCGCAGTAAGCAATAAAAAGTTACGCTTAGCTTCGCAAGCCCTTAAAGAGACAGCCCTCAAGAAGGTTAACAAACAAAAACTATCTAATATTGACAATAAGACTGCGGAATTTAAAGAAGAAATGTAAGGTTTGATAACGCCATTATATACAATAATTTGCTTTAAGCAGTAAAGTAACTGACAAATTTGTCTTAATACGATTTTTTAGAAAAGAAGAAATTAAGGAAGAGCCTGGTGCTAGCGTTAATTTAATTACAACTATGCCGGGTGGTACTGCTGCAGTCGTTACGCCCTCCTCAAAACTGAAGCAGATTTGCACTATATGTCCAGAACGTTTTGCTAGCAAGGCGAAATTGGAAACACACCTTCGCACCAGCCACATACCTAGGGTGGAGAGGTATGTTTGTACAGCTTGTGATGAGATTCTTAATAAAAACTTCGACATCAAGAATCACCAGCTTTGGCATAGACATTCTAAGACTCCCTACAAATGCGGTTTGTGCGATGAAAGGGTTTTGAGCTTTTATGCATATGCCAAGTAAGTATTACTTTCCATAGGAGAAAATATTTTTAAAAATATTCTTTAATTTTGCAGGCACTTGCGGGATCATAGTTTTGAAACACCACCTGCCTTGCTTGTTTTGGATCGTGAATGTCCTCAATGTCAAAATTCTTATGCCACGAATTTTCTTTACAACATTCATCCATGTGCGGTGCACACTAAACGCTGTGCTGGTTGTAATCGTTTACAACGTTCTGAAAGTGAATATTTGAAACATTCCGCTCAGTGCGCGAAGGTCTATTTAAACTATTCCAAACACATATTGCCTGCAGTGGCTGCTATGGAAGATTCTGTACGAATTAAAAATGAGAATGAAGTTGAAGCGGCAGCCGAAGAATATGGCCGATATTCAGGAGCGGCTCTTAATATGAATCCAGTGGTGTCGTTAACTCGCCTGGGATCACCCATGCTAAGGGCAGCTAATTCCTCTACAGTTGTCTCAGGTAGCAACCAACAAGAAGAAACTGCAAAGAAGAGTAGTAAGAATAGAGTTTCGAAAAAGGATTTCAAACGAGTAGACGAATTGCTCAAGTCTACATTTGACACGTTAGTGAGCATTAAACATGAACCAGAAATGCACATGGATACAGATTTATCGGTATCAGTAACAGACAGCGGTCTTGAGTCTAATGAGCGAGAGTCCAACGAACAGGAAGACACGGACGAAAACAATCATAGCGATGGGGATTACGCTGATCACAATGACGACAGCAATGACCAAGAAATGTCGAATGCTGAAATCGGGGAAACAGCGAAAATTAAACAAGAAGTTCATGATTTGTCTTATGGGAACTCGGATGCATCCAATGCAGAGTATTCTAATAAAATGCCGGTATTAAAGTTAAAAATCAAAAAGGAACACGGTCAACTGAATTCCTCGTTGGTGGATCAAACCACAGAGAAACGTGCCGAAAAACGTAAAAAGAAGAAGAAACACAAAGAGAAAGAGAAGACGACCAACGATTATGAAAACGTGAAAGCTGTTAGTGGGGAAGAAGTGCAAGAGGCAAACCTATGCATAAAAACCGAACCAATCGATATGGAGACAGATATGAACACTGTTGAGTTAAACCCACAACCCGAGGCTACCATAATGACGTCTATACCCATGATGCAGTTGAAAATTGCTCGCATTTCCGAAGGCGTGGAATTCAATAGTAGCTCCGTTAAGGACGATCAAATAGAAGAAACATTGAATCGCGATTTGATGCCTTTTGAGGAGGACATTAAACCGAATAGAGAGGAATTAGATAATTTACTTAAAATAACACTTGTTACTGGCGGCGTAGAAATGCAATCGACTGCAGCTGTTGAAAATTCTTCATTGCAAAGCACTATGGAAGAGGACAGTGTAAACGAAAATTATGAGCATCTTGACGAACAGCAAAGTGATATTTTAGGCAAAGAAATTAAACAAAAGGCACCAGTCAAATGGACGAAAGGACGTAATAAGGCTTGCAAATCTACAGCTGGAAGAATTTGTAAAGTATCTAATACTCAAACAGCAGAATTGCAAATTTCTTCAATACATGGAGGTGTTTCAATGTTAGAACATTCATCTACTCCCGAAATGATGCCAGTGTTTATAAAAGCCGAGCCTCAGAATCGCGGCTATTCGGATGAACTTACAGAGCTAACGACAGATGAACTCGATGATTCGGTAGAAGAGAATGAAAACATCGCAAAACTTTCTTCTATGCACGACTATGTTAGCGAAGAGATTGATTTTGCTAATATAAAAATTAAACAAGAGAAAGATCTGGATATTCATGACGTTCAGATGAGCTCTATGCAAACTATAAACGGCTTAAAAGCTAAGAAATTCTTTGTTAATAATTCCAATCAAGAGTTAGAAAATCAACAAGAGTACGATGAATGCAATTATGGCGACGATGATGATGACGAGGATGACATAGATGAAGAAGAGGACGAGGAGTCTGACGAGGAGGACGATGAAATTGAAGAAGAGGAAGAGGAAAGGGAATATCGTGAAATGGAATTACCGCCAGCACTGGATGCGAATCATGCTGAGGATGAAACGTCTGATATAAATCTTAAAGCTGAATTCCAATCTCCAACTGAAGTGATAGGAAATCCGCAAACTCCTTTCATTATAAGCAGTGTTTGTACAGCACACGTTACAACTAATCAGCAACCCCAGCAAGAGTGTACTGACATACCAAAGCATAGCGAAAATGATTTGCCAGTTGCCGACATCAACGCGATGGTCACAGAAACGGGGACTAATCAGGCTCCCGTGAAATATGAGCCTGACAGTAACCGCGGCAAAACCGATTTAACTCAAATTATGCAGGCTCCCCAAACAAGTCAGCCGACGGATTTAACAATCTCATCGATTGCAGCCGGTTGTAGTGTTAACTTTTCGCCAACATTAGCTATCCCTAATCAAGAGGCCGATGAAACACCGCCAGTACCAAATGTTTTAGAAGTTCCAACTGCCAGCAAAAAAGCATTTCAACCACATGATGGGAATCGCGGCGATGATGAAAATGTAAATTTGACATTGACACGAGTTCGCGAGGGAATCATACAAGAGCCTAAAGATGTTCAATTAGAAGCTCAACCTTTTGGCGATACTACTTCCGTCGGCAATGCTAATCTGGATCAGAATATAGAAGAACAACAAAATCAACATAATCAACAGATTTTGGAACACCACCATCAAAGACATCCTCGTCTTACAGCACTTGTAATGCATCCGTATTTGGAGGACATATCGTCAAGCACGAGCAGTATACTCAGCGATTCTTTACTAGAGACACCAAGGTGCAGCACTGCGCCAGTACATATACACCAGAATGTAGAAGAGACTGAAAACATCTTAAACGAATCCAATCGACATTTGTCAAGAAATTTCAATTTTGATAACATTAACGAAATTGCTGAAAATAATAATAATGCTAATATCGAAAGAGAACTCCAAGACGGTGAACTGGCTCGCCAAGCAGTGGAACAGCAAGCACAAGACCAACAGCATGCTTCCGGGCAACAGCAAGCTGAAGATCAACAGCAAACTTCTTCAGAGCAACATGAAACTGAAGAACAACAGCAAACACAAGAGCAACAGCAAACGCAAGAGCAACAGCAGGTTGAAGAACAACAGCAATCTCAAGATCAACAACAGCAGGTCCAAGATCAACAACAGCAGGTCGAAGAACAAGGACCGGTTCAAGGGCAACAGATCGATGATGATGTAACATGAATTTCGCGTTTGTTCCATTGATCCATCAAAAATACATAAATATCGCGTTAAAAGTGAAGCGAAATTATTAAATTAATGTAAATTACAAAAAAAAAAAAAAACAATTTTCATTTATAATTTAAAATAGTTTAGCATTTAATTACTGATCAATCAAGAAATTTATTTTTACTTTAGAATTTAGAATTTGTGTGATTTTTTCATTTGCTTTTTCGGTTGAAATGGTTTTTGAGAAACTTTTTTAATATAAAGATATATGATTACGATCGATTTAAAAATTTATACTTCGATGTATTTACTACGAATAGTTTCGTAGGGTTTATTAATTATATAAACAATATTCAAATATACGTTAAAACATATTTGGTTTATTAAAATTATTACAATGTAGCGTATGAAAGCGGACGCATAGTAATACTGAATGAAAAAGACAATTCCACTAACCTAAATCCTAAATAAAAAACCCTACGTTCACGTTGTGAAAAGTTCGACTTGTTTTGCGTGAGGATAGAACTAACACAAGCTTTTAACAATACGAAGCTTGCTGCCGAAATACTCCAAAAACTCGATTATCCAAATGTAAAAGCGTATTTGGACTAAAAGACTGTGCGAACGTTCATTTATTCACTCATTCATTCGTCCATGCATACGTTCATTCATGCATTCTTTCATTCACTGATTCATTTATTCATTCATTCGTTCATTCCTTCTTTTATCCAATAATTCATATATTAATCCATTCGACTATTCATTCAGTCATTAAATTAATCATTCATTTATACATTCATTAGATAATTTAATCCATTTTATTTCTGAGAGGAATATTTCTAATACCCTTGATGTGGAGAGAGGAGAATAAATATTTCCAATATTTACATTCTAACAAGTGGTTGTTTTCAATTACTTACTCTCTAAAGAACAAAATTCGAAGTTCGCTCATTTACTTCTCCTTTAATTTGCCAGAATTCGAAGTTCGCTCAAATTCTGGTCACCTTAAATCATTACTTCTGCAATGAATATTATAAATACTTTTCTGGTAGATAATTGTTAAAGTTCCATCCCAAAAAGAGTTTCATTGCGAATATGGTATTAGCTTAACGACAAACCATGTCGGTTCTTTGTAGAAGACGCGTGATCTATTTTTACTCATCGTTTTGCTGCGTTATGGACCCTTACGACATAGGACTCTAAATCAAAAGTCTGGCACAAGAAGGAAGAGGACGTAGAGCGCCTCCGTCACTTTACCGGCGACACCACTATCTTAAAAACTAAGGAAAGGCTAATCATTTCAATAAAATAAATATCTCGTATTTCGAAGCACTCTCTTCTCTAACGTTTTTCAAGGAAAAGGTTCGACGTTGAAAGGTCCACATTCTTATATCCACATCGTACAGCAAAGATGTTAGAAATGCTTCTCGCAATAACCGTGGAAGCGCAGGAGATCTTACGATTGTCTTCCGCCGAGATAAACTTGTTTCTAAGAAAAAAAGAAGTTAACTTATTATCTATCTACCAATGTAGTTTTCGTTCCAGAATTCTTTCCAATTAGAATTGTGAATTTGATTTTTGCCCTTCTGTCTTGCTTATGCTCAAGCATGGCATGCTTATGTCTTTATTTCTTCATTTCGCTTTTACGATTTTTTATCGTGATTTGCTATTCATATTTGTTAGTCTTGGATTAAATTTGTTAAATGCTTTTCCTTTTAAATAAAGATAATTTTTTTAAACAATGATGAAAGGTGTCTCCTCGTTCCCTTCTCTCCAATATATGCTCTATATTTTTCGATCAATTCATTCTCTGTCTGCACTTGTGCAGGATAGTCTGTTACCGATTATATATTCTGAGACGTTCAGTTATATTGCCTCGTCGTGATGCATTTTGACGTACAATCGGTAAGAACTTTAGCAGTATAAGTGTATATTCGTTCTCATTTGTTATGCATGTATTGTGCCGATTTATAAAATAAGTGTATATTCGTTCTCATTTGTTATGCATGTATTGTGCCGCTTTGAGAATAAGCATATATTCGTTCTCATTTGTTTTGCATGTATTGTGCCGCTTTGAGAATAAGCATAATTATAGTATTTCCTAAACGTATAAATGTAGATTTTCCCAAACGTATACACATATAAAAAGCATGTAATATAAATAAGACTTAGGATTTATTCTAAGAATCCATTATAATATAAATAAGACTTTTTAATAAACCTTCTTTTTTTTTTCTAAAGTGTTTTAATGCACTAAATTTCTTTTTTATAATTTTATAATTTTTTGGGTTTTTTCTTACTTCACTATTATGTAAACATCTTCTTCTAATTTTTAACCTTTTTAATTTCTTTTTTTTTTTTTAATTTTTTTGTTAACAATTATTCACTTTTTACAACTTCTTTGTGCACTTGTAAAATGGCTTTGATTTTTCGCTAAAAGCCGTTAGCTGGTTTTTTCTTATACATGGTTTATAAAAAAAAATACCATGTGTGGAGACTGCACAGAGTTTCTTTCAATAAATTCCTTCACAAAATCTGTTAAAAGTGATAAACAAATTCCCTCATAAAATCTGTTAAAGTGATAAACAAATTCCCTCATAAAACCTGTTAAAGTGATAAACAAATTCCCTCATAAAATCTGTACCAATTTTGTTAATTAAGAAAATGGAGTCAAAAATATCATACTAATTTTGTTAAGTGAGAAGTTATGGAATAATTCGAGTTTTTCATGAGTTCAAAATTATATTCATTATGTGTTTTACGCAATTTTGAACGAAGCCGATGAATGTTTGTTTTTTCGCACTAGTTTTGCATTATATCGGTAACATCATCATCTATGTTTTTTTTTTATTATTTTTTTTTTTTATTAAATAATACAAGAAATCTATCAAAAATCTATCCTAAAAACATGGTTAGCACATTGTAAGTAGAGATTAGGAATATTAATAAGCGAGATATGAATAAAACTACGCTGATAAAAACACAATTTGCTAAGAGTTTTAAAGCTATTTTTTAACAATATTTCCATCCTCTAAATCCATAATATATATTTAAATTAAGATAATAATAATAATAATAATAAAAAAGTTTTACGGAATAAATTGAAAGCTAAAGCTAAGTCGTGGCATTTGTAGATTACATAGGCATGTATATATGTTGGAAATAAATTTAAAATGATTTCCTCTTTTTTCGCTACCGTTTGAGATCACTAATGTGATTTGTTAAATATGATTCCATTTATTGTAAACAACAACTGCGAACTGTCTGAGTAATTTTTGGTTCCGCTTCCATTTCTTTGGCGCTCAAAATGTTTTTAATGCTTTCTGCCTCTTTCATCCAATTCTCCAACTAACATGTGCAATACATGTAAATTAAATTTGAGATTTCAAATCCGACTTTTTTTTCCTACTTACTTGCTGCACTAGCAAAATACGTCTTTCCCCTTTCGGTTCCTTATTAAGAAATGGCACCATTACACCCAACGCAGACGTGAATGTCTCTAAAGCTAATTGAAATTTATGTTCATACAAATATAATTCACCTTGACGGCCAATATCCAGGGCGGTCTTCAATGCGGGACTCGAGTGAGATAAAGCATCTACAATAAATTACTTTTTATATAAAATAGTCGAGAGAATTTTTAAGGCGAGAATCACAGGGGATGAACGATCATTAGTGGACTATATACATATATATATATATACATATACATATATATATATATATATATGGAAATTTTCAGGCTTACATAGTTGCTTGTAACGCAATTCTGGCTCCAAAATGTTGACAATATTACTGCTATTCGCAGAGGATGGAGAAGTTTCTTTCAAGGCAGTTGTTTCGCTGCTGACTGCGTTTTTGTATTCCTCTTCGATGAGGCCACTTTTAATTTCCTCCGCTCTTTTCATATAAGATAAAGCGCGACTACGTAAAGCTAAACGTTTGTTTGCATCCGACTCTTCAGTTATTAGTGGGACAAAATACTGCAGAGAACTGCAATATAAGTAATAGGCCTCCTTATAATCATGCTTTTCATCATACTCGACTGCTTTAGTGACAAGTTCAATTGCTTTCTGCAATGTCTACAAAATTGGGAACGAAATCGTAGTTAAAAATCACATCTTATTGAATGGAAATGATACCTTTTCCGAAGGAAATGTTTTTAAATCTAAAAATGTATGATTAAAGAAATCATTAAATGAGATTCTTTTGGCTGGATCATGTTCCAAGAGTCCACAGAGCAGATCTTCGCATTCCTTACTTATACATACATTCGGAGGCAAACGGATTTTCTCGCAACTTCGTATTCGACCCAATAACTCTTCTATTGTTTTTGAAGTGTATGGAGCGCGCCCAAACAAACATTCATACAATATCACACCTATACTCCAAAGATCAGCTTTGGCGTCATATTGATGTTTACGTACAATTTCTGGAGCCATATACAAAAGTGATCCCTTTAGTTGCTGATTCATTTCTCCTAACTTCAAATGCTGGGCAAAGCCAAAATCTGCCACCTTTAAACTAACACTATTGCCTTGACTGCGCGTCAGCAACAGATTCTGAGGTTTTAAGTCGAAATGGCAGATATCATTGCTGCGCATGTATTGTACTGCGGTTGCCAGTTGTCTTAGAAAATATTTGCAAGTGGCCTCGGGCAGTGACTTTTTTGAACGAATAAAAGTGCTAAGGCTGCCAGCGTTGCAATATTCCAAGACAATATAAATGGTTTTATCATCCCAAAAGAAATCTTGTAGAGTCACAATATATTTGTGATTGAGACACCGTAGTAAACGTATCTCAGTTATTAAATTTTCACGTGAACTGTGCGACAATGAAGACATTTCTACAAACTTGATGGCATGATAACTCTTCAATTTCTGCAATGTTAGTTTGAAAATTCAATAAGTGCATTGTTTTGGAAATTCCGCCAATATACCTTATGACGTGCTCTATATACGGTGGCATAACTACCGGCTCCTAACTTTTCCAGTATTTCAAAATCGGTTATTCGCGGTAAATCCATAAGTTTCTTATTTAAAAATCACAATTTTTCATTTAAAATTCTACAAAATTTCATCAAAAACTAAAACGAACCAAAAATGGAAAAAATTCTCTTTTTTTTTCATATAAGGAAAATACTAGTCAGCTGTTTTGCCCAAAAAAGTAGATTAAATCAGCTGATGTACATATAAGCATGAATACACTGAGAAAAATCTGATACGATATTATGAGCAATTAAATAAAGAAGAAAATTTTTAAATTAGCAGGACAAAAATTTCAAATGATTCTTCTCTCTCTCAAATAAGTAGAAAACGTCAACCAGCACAATCGGTGGAACGAAAATTTAGAAGCTTATCTCGTTTCTCAGTTCTCGTTGCCTGCGGCGCATTGCAGTACTGGGAGAAACATTTGATCAAAGGAAAAGGTCATGGCGTTAGAGCCGCATACCTTTGACATCAGAATCTGACTATGCAATACCCTGTAGTGCTTTATCTAATAGAACTCTTCATTTCTTTTCACGATCAAATATCAAATAGTTAGCTTTGAAACAAGGTCATTACTTTTCTTGATGGTCTTTGTGCGGAGCACGGTCCAAGACGTGGTCGGACGTGGTTCATAAGTGTCATAACGTTCTGCGCTTTTATACCCTACACAAGTTGCGGTACAAGGGCATACTAAATTTGTGCGGATATATGCAACACTCAGCAGAATTTGAGGTAGACGTGCTTCTATTATACCAATCGTTTCAGAACTAGGCTTGTCTGTCCCTGCAATTTGATTCACTGACGTACTTTGGTCCAAGAACAAACGCTATTTGAAATGGTTTCGATCGTATCACTTTTTCGATCACTTTCGATCACTAATGCAATATTCCAAAAAGTAGATAGAGGACTATCTGTAGGGTGATGTTGAGCCTTGCCCCACTGTAGTGTTTTTACTTGTCTTTTCATACGATTATCAATCATAATAACCGCAATTTTGATAAAAAGTCTTAATCAATATCAATATCAATCAGTCGTGCGCGCATTAAAGCGGTATAAAAGCGATTGATTTTTTTATTCAGTAACAACATAATTGTCAACGAAATGTGGTCGAATACTATTTTACTTTTTTTACTCATTAAAATCATAAGCGGGTTTTCGATGGAACGAGTAGTAAATGGTACCGATTCATCGATAACTCGTTATCCGTTCGCAGTTTCTATGCGTGGTGCTACCGGTTCTCATAAATGCGGTGCTAGTATTATAGCTCCTCGTTACATTTTAACGGCTGCTCATTGCGTTAGTGTAAACAAGCCCGATGAGATAAGCATTCAATATTCCACCACAGATATTGGAACAGGCATTGAACAGATTAATGTTATTCCCGTTAAACGTATTATTGTGCATGAGAAATACAACGTGCAGCCCGAATTCGCAAACGATATAGCTTTGTTGGAATTGAAGGGTCAGTTAGTGTTTAATTATAAAACATTGGCCCCAGTTACCTTACCCGACGCGTATTACGAAATACCTCAAGTACCAGAGGGTGTACAAGGCGTTTTAGTTGGCTGGGGTAAGAATGAAGTAAGTTAACCTTAAAACATATTTTAACGTTAAGGTATAAGTATATAAGTGAATGAATGGGAAAAATTCGAATTGTATTTTTAGACTAATGGTTTTCTGCAAAATCATTTGCAAGAAGTCGATTTGAAAATCTATTCGGATGAGGAATGTTACTCTAGACACAATAACGTTACCACCGTTCATCAGATATGCGGTGGAGTAGATGAGGGCGGTAAAGGTCAATGTTCGGGTGACTCGGGCGGCCCATTAGTTTACAATGGCACTGTTCAATTAGGTATTGTCTCTTGGAGTATTAAACCGTGCGCTGTATATCCTTATCCCGGTGTTTACACTAAAGTTTCACATTACGTCGACTGGATTTACAAACAAATATATTAAAAATTTTGCGAAATGATTAGAAAATTGTTTATAATGCCATTTAATCGTAAAAAAAGGTAAAGTATTAATAACGCATTCCTACATTGATAAGTTAAACGGGTTATTGGGTTTATTACTTAAAAAGGTGGAGAGATTAAAAACTAATAAGCTTTTTATCATATTTAATTTAATTGATTTTGTAGTGTGACCTTGACTTGATTAGATGAAGTCTAGCCTATGCAAGGGCATAGTTAATGAGAGCAAAGAATAAAAGATAACGAGTTCTTTTTTTAAGGTTTTATAGCTTCGAATGCAATTAGTTCGCTGTTCTCATTTTCAGAAAAAGGAAAAGTAAAAGTTCTATCTGAGTGGCCGAGTAGGTAAAGGACCTCAACTAACAACTCATAGTTGCGTTCAATGAAAGTCGATAGCTTTATGTGCTAAGACTTTAGTCTTTGAATTTATTTCCCTCTCTGTCTCTATTTCTCTCTCTCTCTAAATTAACAACAAAAGTTCTTCTCCAGTTTTTTCCATACCATAGAGTAACAATCACTTTAATCGTTATCTCACGTTAGAATCTTTTACTCGATCGAGATGTATATTTCATATAGATTCGGTTGTAAGGATTACGAACAAAGTAATATGCACATGTGGCTAATTAAAAACTTTCATTCTCCATTGTGGTCAACACTTACTGGCGGAACAAGAGTAAAAAATATATAGATTGTGATTGTGAAAAAAACAGTGGGGAGGGCCAGTTTAGTGTAATAGGTAAGAATCGCGACTACCAAGTTCAGAGGACGCGGGTTCAAATGCCAAGAGCAGCGGGGTTTTCCTTGGTCGTAGCTGCTTAGTCGAGTGCTTAGCCGCCAAAGGCGCAACCTTTATCGACCGGGCAAACACCACCCACTAGGCTGCGACCATCAATTCTCTATTCCTTTCTCTTATCTAACTTTGTTTTGCCGGTCACTGTGTAGAGAACACCTCTCAGTGATTGGTATTTGATTATTATTTTTTTTTATATATAAGTGACACTCAACGAATTTTTCAATTAGCTTGGCAATACATCTAATTTGTCCTTTTAATTCTATTTTTCGCTTTGCCAATCGAGTACTTCTTGATGTTATATAGATTCATTCTCTTGAAAGAGAAACATGCATCGCTTACCCATTCCGTATGCGAAATGCTAGTTAAGTGACGCGTAAAAAATAAAGAAAAATGCTGGTGTCTGTCCTGTGACTTTGGACGTATCTGTATTGTTGCTGAGAGTAGGACGGTAAGTTTTCGTATTCGTCTCCCATATCAATGTTGTCTTTTGTTGCGGAAAAAGGAATTTCAAAACGATATTTGTTGTTGAGAGAAAGTAACTTAATGTACACCGGAAATAGTTCGCAATAAAATACGATTAACTCATTTTTGTGGCTTTCTCTCTTTATATTTTATGAGGGAAGCAGAAAAGGCAATGATTTTTAAACTGTCTGGTTGAAAGAGCTTTTCCGTTAAAGAAAAGTGCAATTAAAAACTTAAGCTTTATGCAAAAATTTAAAAATAACCGTTCATTCATATTTCAAAATTGCTGAACCTAGCATCCACATGTTAAACTAAAATGTAAACGACTGCAAACGTAATTGGGTTTTATGTGTTAACGCATAGCATTAAATGTATTGTCGTGTTATTCGCTATATTTGCGATAATGTTTGTAAAATATTTCGTTCGTGTTTAGTGTGTTTTATTTTGCTGTTGTTTTTGTTTTTTGTTTTAAGCCATGGCGCTACGATGACAGCACAGACAGCACAGCTTGTCTTATGTTAGTCTTCGATAACGAGTCCTACGTGTTTGTGGTGTTCAAGCGGATAACAAAAGAAAACTCTTTCTAAACGATTTTTGTATTAAGTTTTAGAGAAAGATGAAAACAGTGGTAGTATTCTTCACTTTCACTGCTTTTTCTTGGTTGTTGTTTTAGAATCAAAAAAGAAAAAAAGAAAAAAAAAAAAATTAAAATAAAAAAAGACAGTGCAACACGAACAAAAAAAAAAAGAAGAAGAAAAACAAAGCTAAGAGCAAATAAAAACAAAATCTTAAGATCAAATTGTTAAATAGTGTATGTTTGTTGTAAGTGTGTGTACGTGTGCGTGTATAAAGATCAAAATTATTTTAAAAGTAAAAAAAAAAAGAAACAAAATAAAATAAAAAAAAATAAAATTTGAAATGCTAAGACGGTCTTTTGTGTGTGTGTGTGTGTATGTATATATATATTTTGAGGATTATAGATTTGGATACGTTCTTGCATAATTTATTTAACACTAGCAACGCCCCTGAAAAATGCTTTACATTGACTTATATACGTACGGATGCTTATGAATGATTTTCATGTCAATTTAAATAACTTTAGGGCAATAGTTGATGATTGTTTTTGGCATTTAGTTTAGTTTAGTTTAAAATAAATCCTCACCCTTTAACGAACTTATCATAATAATTAAGAAAGTAACCTTTCCAAGCATTTAATTCAATTTTTTATTTTTTAGTATCCGAGGACTTTCGGTTTCGGTTCAGCTTTTTGTAATGTTTTTTCTTTGCCTTTCGCTATTCGTCTTCAATTTATATGCTTCGATCTAGAATGTTTTTTTTTTTTCATTTAGCCGCATTAAGTTCGGCAAGCGAGACTCATAGTCTATCACTTTTTGGAAAAGCTGCCCCTACATTAAAATGATCTTTCAAGAATCATTGCAACGAATAGAAACATTTCGACATTTTCCCCCTCTTTTTTTTTTTTTATTTACGGATAAGTTTGTCATAGGTTTGTCAAGCGAGTCTGCGCTTTCGTAGTTAACATCATGCTATACCAACACACTTAGGCAGGAGTGTAACATCTTGTAGACTTTAAAATTTACGAGATAATTTCTTAAGTAAGCAAAGGGAAATTTTCTAATGGAGTCAAGCGCTTTCTGATGCAAGACGTTTTCTTCTTCTCTTTAGGGAGCAGAGAAACGTGAAAGACAGCCATACTTATCAGGGAGATCTCTCGCGCTAAGTTTCTTTTTAATTGTAAATATGTTAAAATAATTACTAAGATCTATTCTTACGATGATAGATTATAGCGTGTTTCTCGATGAATCGCGTTTATTATCGGATATAGTCTTTGCATTTGAGCTAAGAACATAGGCGCCGCTAATCAAGAATATTTTTATTCCGCTTGATATCCGAAATTTGTATTGGGGACAAGAAACATTTCGTGATGTTTTTTACAATGAATGGCTTTAGAGTTGAGTAAGTTTGGAGTAAGTAACACTTAATCTATCAAAGCAATCACATTATTGCTCTATTCGAGTATCCTTTGCTGCCTTCTCTGTAGAGTTTTCTTAACGATCTAAATTTGATCATAGGAAATGTTAGCAAAAATCATCTGAGATTGAGTTTTTCATCTCGATATCTCAAACCGATAAGTTAATGGCAAAAGATTACCATTCTATAAATGGCATTTATTCGGTTTAATTAAAATTCATTAAGAAAGATTGTTTTATTATGTTTTTCTTTGCTCAAACATTTCATCTAATGTAGTCCACCTAAGGCTTTAAAGCCTTTGCTATTGCATATAAAAATGAAAAAAAAAAAAAAATAGTGGAACTAATTAGCACTTTTAACTTATCGGAGTTGCAGAGTTAAAGGGTACAACAATATTTCCTTTTTAAATTTTTTCCATTAGATTTGTTCAAGAATCAAGGATTATAATAAATATTATATAAGTGTTTGTGTAAAGTTAATGGAACGCTAACTAAAATTCTAAAGAAAAATTAACTGAAATTTATTAAAGAAACTTCAAGTAAAGTTACTAAAGGAAAAAGGGATGGTCTTGAAATACATTAAATAAATAATTATCACTTTTGTGCCGCCGATTTCTTCGCCTTTTGCTTAACATTAACGACTGCATATAAAATCCAAGATATATATGTATATGTGTACAGTTTGCAAGTAAAACTTAATAAAAAAAAACACCTGTAAAAAGTTTGTTTCTTACGAATAATGTCACCGTCATGTATATAAGTGGAAAGAAAACATGTAACAGAAAGTCAACAATTACAAAAATAACAAAAACAGCAACAACTGCATATAATAAATCGACACGTAAAGTATCAATAACTTTAGGAATGGCCGCAACAGCCGCACCAACGAGAGCCGCTTTAGAGGAAAAATTCAACTCGTCGTCATCGATAACGAAACTTCCAATCATGCAATTGTCAAAGGACACGGATAAAATTGAAGCAATGGCAGCAACATTATATTCACCACCGTCATCGTCTTCAAAGTCAACAGCAATATCATCATTATCATCGTCATCATCATTATCATCATCATCATCATCATCATCATCATCATCATCAGCATTATCATCATCATTAACATTATCATCGCCAACACGACGTGTGATGAGTTTGCACAATTTGTTGATAATGTTCATTGTGCTCGTTTGCGGTCTGGCCACCGTTAATGGCCTGAAATGTTACATGTGCGGTCAGTATAATGAGGGCGTGGGTTCAATAACCCCCTGTTTAAATTATTCCCAGAAACATCAGCATCTCTACTTGAAGGAATGCACCAAGAAAAGCGAAAAATATTGTGTGGTAAGTGCCGTCAAGTCAATTACATTTCTCCTCTCTTTTCTTTTTTTTTTTCCATCAAAGATATCGATAATATCGCGGATATTAAACGTTGCGGGGACGCATATGTCCCTGAAGTTGAAATTATTATTTATTTACTTTTTCTTTTTTTTTTTGAAAGACGATCAGATACCGTGGATCACCAAGACGATCAGGTACAATATAGATAAAAGTAGAAGAAAAGAAACCTTACGAAAATAACCTAAGAGTCACTAAAGGAGCGAAAGGAATAAAACCAGAAACAAGCTTGCAAGCTGCTTTTAAAATTGGGGAATGTTCGGCGAAAATTAAATAGGAACGAAAGGAAAACTAACTAAAAAGAACTAATCGACAAGAAGGGACCGAAGGCTAAATGGAATTTATAAAAAAGAGAACGTCACACTTGGTTGAAGATTATCTTCAAACGAATTGAAAGTCCATTGGTAATGATCGAAAGTTCAAGACAAGAGCCGAGTAGAAAATTTGATTTTCGTGTCGAGTAGATGAAAAGAATCCATCCCATATATATAGTGTTATTGACTTTGGTCTATTCTAAGAGAAAGTGCGAGTACTATTGCGACCTGTAGGCCACAAGAAGATAAGAAAGTCAGATGGACGGACAAGCTTAGATCGAAGCAAAAGATGATTCGAAACCGATCGGTATAAAAAGAAAGTAGTCTATCTTAAGTCCCTTCTGGGTGTTGCCTTAATCCGACATAGTGCATACTACGAGCAAAGAAAACTCTGCCGCACTTAAGGTTTGAGTCAGCGAACACTGACTTAGTAGCCTCGGCTCTGATCTACTCGGCTATTCAGGCGGATCGATGCTTTTTTATTAGCATATGTTTAGTTAGAACAGAAATTTTTTGTTTTTGTTTATTAATAAAAATTGTGCGTAGAAAGTATGTTTGTCTATTTGTTTATCTTAATAAAAGAGTATGGATGCAAGACTTTTGAATCTCTGACATATTAATTATCAATTGTTAGTTTTACCAGTGGCAAAACTACAAGAGTCAAATATTTAATTATAGTTGAATTAATTGGAGTGTTTTAAAAAGTTTAACCAATTGCAAATAAAATATAATTAATTTATTGTAATCAATGGAGTTCTAAAGTGGAAACATAAAAAAAAAAAAAAAAATGCGCTTACTTATGCTGAGAACATACAACGTTTGATTAACGGTTTTTGTATTTTATTATATATTTAAGTATTTATTGGAAAAAGAATGGTCTTGTTTAATTCTTTTATTATTCGAATCAAAGGTTTTTAGAAAGTGCAACACTTGAAAATATTGTTGGAAAGTATTTCGTTCGAATAAAGTATCAAAGAGTAAAATCGAAATGAAGAAGAAAACAATAAAAATCAACTAAAAGAGAAAACATAAAAACAAGAAGAAGAAGAAGAAGAATAATAAAAAAAAAAAAAAAAATGAAATCCTTAACAGAAATAGTCATCAATTGTTAGCTCAAAGGGGAATATTCGTATAAATAAGTAAACAACCAAGAGAGTCGTAATCAAAGAAAAGTTTTAAATTACATGAAACTTTCATTAACTTTCATTCTATATAACTCATCAACATTATATTATGCTTTCTACAAGAGTGAAATAATTCATCAGAATTCTTTGAACTGGAGGGGCGCTTCAATTGGGAACTAATTGTATTTTTAAAAGCCTTCCAAAGTGAATTAACTTTTGTCAAAAGATTGGATTATATGAAATCAAAGGTTAGATTAATTTATTTGATGCGTTCGATGCGTGTTATCACCTATAAGATCCGATGCTTGTCTGTTGCTTTCACTTAAAACAAGTATTTGAAGCACACTTTTCGATAATTGTTAGCGTAGAAAAATTTGTCAGGTTGCACTAGGAGCCTATGGTGATTCCGTTTGCATGTGAAACTTCGGAAAGCATCTAACTTGAAGAAACACCATCTCTTACGTGAAAATTGTAAACAACTTTTAGCTTCCGATTTCGGAAATTCATGTTATCCGATATATTAAATATTTCGGTCAACTAAAGATAGGTCAGGCTTGATAACCTTTAGTTTATTTGGACCTGCTAGGCTTTTCTAATTGATACCTAATATCTCAGCCTTTTTTTCCGGTTAATATATCCGGTTAATTGAAGATAGGTCAGGCTTGATAACCTTTACTTTATTTGGACTTGTCAGGCTTTTCTAATTGATACCTAGTATCTTCAGCCTTTTTTCGCTGTTTGTTTTTTTTTTGGTAGAAAATCTTTATAATTACTGGGAGTAAAAAGATAATTGAAGCTTAATTTTTATTTTTAAATTTACTTGGCTTTCAGGGTAGTAAGCTGCACATAGTTAAGCGCGAATTTTTTTTCTTTTTAATTTAAATGCAAGGTGAAATGTGATAGAATGGTAGACATTAGTAACACAAATTGGCCAAATTGAATAGATGAACTAATACGACACTATAACCTCAAAACCACAGGTAACCACGGGCGGCTTAATACATATAAAAAACCAGTAAGAAGGATATATTCAGCGGGGTCCAAATCTTGCATACCAACTACGTAAACACGGTTGTTTCTAAACAACAAGACTTTATCTACTAATCGTTCACCATAGTCAAATTATAACTAACACACTGCATCGCATTTTATTTTCCAACTCTTTTCGTTTGATGTTCATATCGAAGATCTACCACACTTAGAATTTCGTATCGCATTCTCCAAGTCCGAGATAATTATTTTGGAACTAACACACATAGCTTTTCGCATTTCACTCTCCAAGCTCTTTTATTTGATAGCCATATCGATAGTGTTATTACGAAAAAATTAATCTTCCAGGCCGCGGTGTCTACCACATTTATTTCAGAAATAACCAGTTTTTAGGTAGATAATATGTCCGCATTTGAGAAATGTACAAAATAGTTTCGAACATTCTCTCTTGTTTGCCTTGCGATAAGTATTTTTGTGGGCATTGTCGTTTTTCACCATTGTTCTGTGGGATTCTGCTCTGAAGAATTTGGCCCATTTTCAATAACAACCTGCGTGCAAAAACTCCCAGTATTTCGATCAAATTCGAAATCGATATGACAATTTTTGCGACCAGGAGGATGCAAATAACACACATCACGGCTTAATCAATTCAGTATTTCACGTTGAGCAAGCTAATCTAAAGTTTCTTTTCGGGTGTCAAAAAAAAAGAAACAAAATAAGTATACCACCATCCTGCAGTGATGAACGCAAAAAAAAAAAAAAAGGGAAAGGCAACCAAATTCGACCGCCTCAGCGAAAGTTTGTAATTCGGGAAACCCCTTCCAGGCAGACAGGTTCGTTTAAAGCATATTGCAAAAACGATCTTTACTAATCTATCAAAGAGTCCAGCAGTGAATTAGCAAGACCACAATATTTTTCAAAAATTTATTCCAAAACAAACACAAATTACAAACCGAAGCATGTTATTTTGCTCCATTGAATCACTTAATGTAAGATTCTTTTATGTCATTTTCGTGGCAACCACTAACGAATCGCAGCCAAGTCTGATACTTAATGAAATGTCTTTGTTTCCGTTTCTTTGCTCAAAAGAGCATTCATTTATTGTTTGCTGTGTGTTTCGTTTATATTTAATTAAAGAAAAAGCAAATAAACGTGAAAGACTTTTTCATTATGGAAACTATATATATATATATATATATATATATATATTCTTTTACATAAAAGTTATGTTTATTCTTTAATTAATTATAAGAAGAAAGTAATTATTTTATTAAAAGAAAAAAAAAAAAACGCTCTAATTTCTCTTTAGTTCAACATATGCAGCCAATTTCTGAATCTGTGACACTTGACATTAGGCATTAGATGTCTTCTATTTTGTATATTTGGCAAATGCCAAATCGTGGACATGCATTAAAGCGAAGAATTTGGACTAATTCGGTACATCAAGCTCTTCAATTGAGCAATGAATCAAATCTCTTATGACAAACATTTAAAAAATGTTATACTGAGATTATCTTTTGGATCAATTAATTTATTGGACTTTACTAACTTACCAAGTCCAAGCAAATCAATTCAAATTCAAGTGCAATTTGATCATATTTGAGTTCTTAGTCGGTAACAGCATAAGTCTTATCAAAGCCACTCCCTAGCTTTTTGTCTTTTCCTTACTTACTAGGGGAAATTCCCCAAGTGATTGGGGAACTAACAAAACTAACAGCGTTTTTCAAGACACCATTGACGACCAACTGAAATATGCGCGGAGATGACATGACGAACTGCCCAACGTACCCTCGCTCGTATGGTTCCCTGTGGCTCTACTCTTCATGAATAATTCGGTCTAGACAAACCCGATTTACTCTTCCTACTTATATTTGAGCATTGAAAGCAAAACGCTCCTCAGCATTACGATGACATTTCAGTAAATGCAATCTGTTGGTCGATATGTTAGTTTACAGCGAGCGAAGCTCAGAACAAAAAATGCTTTTTGCTATATTGTATGTAATTCCTGATACATTTTTGACAGAAAACATAATAAATAAGCCACTAAACTAGCCATCTAGTCCGCCTTTAAAAAAGAAAAGCCAATAGTCTGCGTTAGTAGCTCTCATCCTACCTTTTTGTCCTAGAATTTATTTCTTTGATGAAAATAAATTATAATAATAATAATAATAATAATAATAATAATAAGGAAATCTTATTGCAAATGCTCTTAATTGATTTATTCATCCATTTTTCTTTAAATAAAATCAAAAAAGAAAGAAAAATGCATAAAACATTCAGTTTATAAACTGTTAAGTTGCGCTTGAGTAACGAACGAGAATGACTAAAACAAGAGCACCAAGAGCAACAACTTCAGAAAATAAAAAACGCATATCAAGCATAAAATACTTGTTCCTTTCAATTTGCTGCAAGCAAACGATTGCATGGAGTGTAAAATGTTACAAAATAAAAAAAAGGTTTTCTGCATTGTCGGTGGAGCATATGACCGACGAAACGTATGACTGAATAAATATAAAGT